ACTGCACTCTGACCGAGGTGGTGAGTTTTCCTCCCGCCTTCTCGAGGACTTCTGTGGTGCTGAGGGCATCGTCCAGTCGTTCACGCTTCCGGCCTCTCCACAGCAGAATGGGATTGCTGAGCGCCGCATTGGCCTGGTCATGGAGGTTTCTCGCACCTCCATGATCCATGCGGCTGCTCCCCATCTTCTGTGACCGTTTGCGGTCCGATACGCCGCGCATCAGCTCAACCTCTGGCCCCGTGTCTCTCACCCAGAAACCTCACCTACTCTGCGGTGGACGGGCGAGGTTGGCGATGTGTTGGAGTTTTGGGTCTGGGGTTCCCTCTCTCTTGTCCGCGATGTGCCCGCGGCCAAGCTCTCTCCGCGCACTCTTCGGTGCGTGTTCCTTGGCTTTCCCACCGAAGCACCGCCCTGGCAGTTTTACCACCTGGGCTCACGTCGTGTGCTGTCCTCCCGCGACGTCACTTTGGACGAGTCAGTCTGCTTCTACCGTCTTAACCCCCACCGCAATTCCCGGTACCCCTCCCGCCTCTCTCCCCGGTTGTCGACCCGTCCCCGGTAGCCCCCCTCCCTCCTCCCGATCCTGCTCCCTCACGTGTGTCTCAGGTAGACCCACCCCCCTTGGTTGAGCCTTTGGAGGTCTCCTTTGACACCTCTGGCCCAGCTGAGGGGGTGACCCGACTGCTGCCGACACAGTGGCCCCTCGCCACTCCGCGCGCTTGGCGGTCCCTCCTGGTTTTCCGCCTCGACCGTCTTCACCGCCTCTGCAGCCCGTCGTTGTGGACTCAGGTGCTGCTGGGGGTGGTGACACTGGGGGTGCGGACTCTGAGGGTGCTGGCTCTGGGGGTGCTGAGTGTCCTGCGGGTACAGGAGGTGCTTGAGGTTCTGCTGCTGGAGGTACTGCGGTTGGAGGTGCTGGTGGTGCTGGTGCTGGTGGTACTGGTGCAGGTCGGCAGGAGACTCTCTCGCCGGAGCGGCTTCGCGAGTGGGCTGTCCTGTGGGGCAGCCCCGGTGGCGGCGCTGGACGTGCTGGAGCTAGAGGTACTGGAGGTGCTAGTGCTGGTGTTCCTGGAGTTAGCCGTGCTGGAGGTACTGGTGAAGGAGGCACTGGTGCTACTGGAGGTACTGGAGGTACTGGTGCTGTGGGTGCTGTTGCTGGTGGTACTAGTTCACGTCGGCAGGAGCCTCTCTCTCCGGAGTGGCTTTGAGAGTGGGCTATCCGATGGGGCAGCTCCGGTGGCGGAGCTGGACGTACTGGAGCTGGAGGTACTGGAGGTACTGGACCTGGGGGTGCTAGTGCTGGTCTTCCTCGAGTTGGAGGTTCTGGGGGTGCTGTTACTACTGGAGCTCGAGGTTCTGGAGGTGCGACTACTCAACCGCAGCCGTCCGCGCTTGGTCACCTTCTCAGTCTCCCACCTGCTGCTACTGAGTTCCCTGTTGCTGGTACTACTCCTCCGTTACTGTTCCCACCAACTGACCAGTCTCCGCCACAGTTACTGCCTGACTCCCCACTGCCTGCTCCTGTTCCGTACACTGACGTGACAGACTCCTAGACAGAGACTAGAGAGCCTGGTTCTCGTGTTTCCACACCTATTCGTGCTCGTCGTGTTGACCGTCCTCGTGCTCCAGCTGTGCCAGGCACTCACCGTATGGCACTTCGTCCTTCCTCTGTTCCACAACGTGTTGTCCTGCCGTCGCCTCCCGCGTCTTCTCTTCCTCACATTCCTGACCCTGAGTCTGACCTTGTCCGTACTGCCAGTCCGACTGTCACTCGTCTACTTGCCGCGGTTCTGACTGACCCTTCCTTTGAGTCTGCTGCTGCGTCTGCCTTAGTTGCTGAACTTGTTGACTTTGCTGCTTTGTGCCGCCTTGACTACGCTGCAAGTCTTGTTTTTGACTATTCCTGTCCTCCGTCCGTCGGGGGTGAGCTTGCCCTTGGCTGTGACGTTCTTGAGGAAAGGCAGTTTGAGCTAGAGTGCCTAGCGGCCGCTGCACCTCATCTCGCGTCCACGCTACTTTGCCCTGAGGGAGACCTGGATGCACTGGACATCCCGACCCCGCGTTCTTACGCAGACGCGATCATGGGTCCGTACTTCTCTCGGTGGCAGATAGCCATGGACGCAGAGATGGCTTCATGGAAGTCCACAGGCACCTACGTTGACGCAGTTCCCCCACCTGGGGTGAACATAGTCGATGGCATGTGGATTTTCAGGGTCAAGCGGCCGCCGGGTTCTCCGCCTGCCTTCAAGGCGTGATACGTTGCACAAGGCTTCAGTCACCGTGAGGGGGTCGACTTCTTCCAAACCTTCTCACCCACCCCGAAGATGACCACTCTTCGGGTGCTACTGCACGTTGCAGCACAGCGTGACCACGAGCTGCACTCCCTCGACCTCTCGACAGCCTTCTTGCAGGGCAGTCTTCACGAGGCTATCTAGTTGCGCCGCCCACCTGGCTTCACTGGGTCGTTTCTTGAGGGTATCCAGTGGAGTCTCCGGCGAGCAGTCTACGGTATGCGTCAGGCGCCCCGTGAGTGGCACGACACACTGAGGACTACACTTGCGGCTCTTGGTTTCTCTCCCTCGACTGCTAACCCTTCGCTGTTTTTGCGTACAGACACTTCTCTGCCGCCGTTCTACGTTCTTGTGCACGTCGACGACTTGGTTTTTGCTACTTCTGACACTGAGGCACTGTCCCTAGTGAAGGCGGAACTGCAGGAAAGACACACCTGCACTGACCTGGGTGAGCTGCGGCGCTATCTTGGCTTGCAGATCACTCGGGACAGAGCACGGCGCACCATCACCCTGACTCAGTCACACATGGTGCAACAGGTCCTTCAGCGCTTCAGCTTCTCATGGCCACAGCCCACTCCTCTGCCTACAGGCCACTCGCTCTCAGCTCCACCTTCGGACGAGTCCGTAGAGCCAAGTGGTCCGTATCCAGAGATTGTGGGTTGCCTCATGTACCTGATGACGTGCACACGACCTGACCTCACGTACCCTCTCAGCCTCATGGCTCGCTACGTGGCTCCTGATAGACACCGGAAGGTGCATTGGGAAGCTGCTAAGATGGTACTGTGTTACCTGTGCAGTACATCGGGCATGGGGCTTGTGCTTGGATGAAAGGGTTCAGTTGTTCTTACCAGTCACTCAGACGATTCTTGGGCTGACGACCAGACGACTCACCGGTCGACACAGGGGTACAGTTTCAGCCTCGGCACTGGTTCTGTCTCGTGGAGGTCCACTCGCTCGTCTTCTGTACTAAGTTCCAGCTGTGAGGCCGAGATCTACGCTGGGGCTATGGCTGCACAGGAAATCCTCTGGCTGACCTACCTGCTGGCCGACTTGGGTGAGCGGCCTCGATCTCCTCCAGTTCTGTACGTCGACAACAAGGCCATGATTGCCTTGTGTCAGGACCAGAAACTGGAGCACAGAACGAAGCACATTGCTCTTCGTTACTTCCTCTCGCGAGAGCTGCAGCAGCGTGGTCAGCTTCGTTTTGCTTACATGGCCACACAGGCCAACACTGCTAATGTCTTCACCAAGGCCCTTGGGTCTGGTGATCATCAGCGTTTCTGCACTGATCTTGGGCTGGTGCCCACTCTGCCTCACCTGCTTGTCTCTTGATCTTGCCTTGCACTTGTTGTACTATGATATATATGATTATACCTGCATGTTTGCACTTGCTAGGTTGTCATAAGTGTACTGCAATTGCTATTATAAACTCTGCATGTGAACTGGCCTTGTGGCCGCTTGCTTGTGCTCAAAATGCGTGGTGATATTGAGATCCACCCAGAGCTTTGCTTTGTTTGTTTCTCTTGACTGGTTTTGTGACCTCTTGTTTTTCCCCACTTCGCCTATGGGGGTGTGTCAAACATAAATTGTTAGGTTGTAGTGGGTTACTGCCTATGGGGTACAACCCTTGTTAGGGTTAGTACTTGTACCACATTTCCTGCTTAGTCAAACCATTCCTGTTTTCTATTCCGACAAAGTGAAGCGCGAAGTGAGGATTCCAAGAGTGTGGCGATTGTGATGGAGCTGTACCGTGGAGGGAGTTATACGACCGAGTTATAGCCAAGGGCACTACAGGTGGGTTTGTCGGCTGGTAGAACTGTGCATATGGGCTGGAAGTGGTTGGTTGGTGTTGAGAGGCCTGAAAGAGCATGGGTGAGAGGTGGGCATTCTGCACCACCTGGCGGGGCACCCCCGCGTGGTGCAGGTGGGCGCAGGATGGGTTGATTGGTGGGGCCTTACAAGTGGTGCACGATCAGATCAGCTTCTTGTCCCTTCCCAGTCCTCCCTTTCCTTCCCTCTCTTCCCTTCCCTTTCCTTCCCTTCCCTTCCCTCCCCCGTAGCGAGTGCGACACCGTGCGTCTCATCAGCACAATCATATCGGTCGTGCACTGCTGCCACACCATGAACGTCGTGCACTGCTGCCACACCATGAACGTCGTGCATCGTGGCCTCAAGCCGCAAGACTGCCTTGTCTTCGCTTCTCCATGCCTTGACTTCCCTTCTCCATGCCTTAAATTCCTTTCTCCTTGTTTGAGTGTTTATGAGAGTCTGGGGGTGCATGAGAGTGTTTGCAAGTGTATGCACGAGTGTGCGAGTGAATGAGAGACTCTATTACGTAGGAGCGTGGATGAGAGCCTGACAGGCACTGCATCTGGTGCCTAAGATGGTACCCTACTATAGAAGGAGGGACGAAGCGAGGACATATGTGTGGTGATATGGTCCACATGGTCCTTTAATACCCTTCCTCCTTACCCATCCCTCCCCTCACCCTCCCTCCACGCCCTCTTCCCCCCTCTCTTCTCGTTCCCCCAGGCTAGCATATCTCAGCAAGTCTAGCGAGCGGTCTGCTCCGCTGTATCTAGCCCCTTTCCCACTCACTTCCTTCCTTTTGTCCCACTCACTTGCGTCGGTCTATCCCTTTGCCCCTCGCCACAATGCAAGCCCATATCAGCAGCCTTGGCAGGGTACATCAGTTCCCGCCCCTGGAACATGGGCACACTGTTCACGGGAACCTGCGAGCTGCTGAGTGCTTTCCTTGCCAATGCTGCATGGCACCTCCCCTTCAACACCCATCACCCTCATCCGTTCCCCCTCTCCCCCCCTCGTACCACCAGCGCTCCGCTCTGCATTTTTTTGTCCCACACCGGATTCTGGCCCACTGACCCAAGCGACACCAAAGTGACATCACTATCATGGGCCACTCGGCTGTTTACACTTTCCCCCTCCCCGCACCCCTCTCCCTCCTCCCCCCTCTCTTCCGCCCCTCGTAGCTGCGCACCTTCTTCTGCCCCACCGACTCCCACCCCTACGGCACGTCCGCACTGTTCACCTCCACAGTAGCACGCCAGAGGCTACTGACGTGGCAGAGGTGCGCAGAAGGCTGCAGGCGATGCTAGGCTGTTGGGTGCCTTGTGGCGGTGTTTGATGGTCGAGAAAGAGGGAAAAGGAGGTGCGTTTTCAGGGAGTGAGAGAGGGGTGGTGAGCTGGGCTGATTGAGTCACTAGTTGGTGGGTCACGGCGAGGGGAGGCTGGGTGTGGCTACTAGGTGCCTCGTGGCAATTCTCTTCCACAGGGGCAGTTCTCTTCCACAGGGGCAGTTCTCTTCCACAAGGGCAGTTCTCTTTCACAGGGGCAGTTCTCTTCCGCGGGGGTAGTTCTCATCCGCAGGGGCAGTTCTCTTTTGCAGGGGCAGTTCTCTTTTGCAGGGGCAGTTCTCTTCTGCAGGGGCAGTTCTCTTCCGCAGGGGGAGTTCTCTTCTGCACGGGGAGTTCTCTTCCGCAGGGGCAGTTCTCTTCCGCAGGGGCGGTTCTCTTCCGCAAGGGCGGTTCTCTTCCGCAGGGGCGGTTCTCTTCCGCAGGGGCAGTTCTCTTCCGCAGGGGCAGTTCTCTTCCGCAGGGGCAGTTCTCTTCCGCAGGGGCAGTTCTCTTCCGCAGGGGCAGTTCTCTTCCGCAGGGGCAGTTCTCTTCCGCAGGGGCAGTTCTCTTCCGCAGGGGCAGTTCTCTTCCACAGGGGCAGTTTTCTTCCGCAGGGGCAGTTCTCTTCCGCAGGGGCAGTTCTCTTCCGCAGGGGCAGTTCTCTTCCGCAAGGGCAGTTCTCTTCCGCAGGGGCAGTTCTCTTCCGCAGGGATAGTTCTCTTCCCCAGGGGCAGTTCTCTTCCTCAGGGGCAGTTCTCTTCCACAGGGGCAGTTCTCTTCCACAGGGGCAGTTCTCTTCCACAGGGGCAGTTCTCTTCCACAGGGGCAGTTCTCTTCCACAGGGGCAGTTCTCTTCCACAGGGGCAGTTCTCTTCTACAGGGGCAGTTCTCTTCCACAGGGGCAGTTCTCTTCCACAGAGGCAGTTCTCTTCCACAGGGGCAGTTCTCTTCCACAAGGGCAGTTCTCTTCCACAGAGGCAGTTCTCTTCCACAGAGGCAGTTCTCTCCTTACCCTGCGACCCCTCCCCGTCCTCCCCGTCCTCTGTCACAGCGCAATGCGTGTTGCTACTTTCCCGCTGAAATGTGACATTTACTGCCATGACAGTGACGCATGGAGGTCGCGATCGCATCAAGTGCCTTGCGCTGTGATTGGGACGCGATTGACCATGTGACAGATTCTGCAATTGCCCCTCCACCCTTCCCACCCCCCGGTTACACTTGCCCCTTTCCGTGTCGGTGCTCGTCTGCTGTGCCGTGGCATATGTGGAACATCCGGGAGCCAACATAATGGAGGGGTGGAACGGCTTGGAAGGATCTTGCACCTGCAGCAGCAGCAGCAGCAGCAGACGAAGCGCCGGGCAGGGACGAGGCGAGGGGGCCGGTCGACGGACAACAAGTAAGGAGGAGACGAGAGCGAGTCAAGAGAGGGGGCAATGGCACAAGCAGGCGGGTTGGGGCATTGTGAGGCTTCAAAGTGTGAACATGATGCACCGAGAGCAGAGTGCACTAGGGTAGATTACTGCTCTTCTCCTTCTTTCACTGCTCAATCTTCCTTACCCACGTAAAATTACCCCCCCTTCTTCTCTTCGAATTCGTTGCCCCTACACAATTTGCAGTTCACATGTATCTGCAACCCCTTCACTTTCTCCACCTTCCACTTTATTCCCCCTTTCTTAACCTTTCTCTCTCGTCTTTTTTCCCCCACCCTACCTCTTTTCTTTTGTTGAACCCTCCTTCCCCCCTCCCTTTCCCTTCCGTTCACCCTTTCTTCCTCCCTCCTTTCTGCTCGCTATCGTACCCGTCTCTGTTCCCTCCCTACTATCTGTCTTCTCAACAGTGTTGCACATGCTCTCAACATGTGTTACGTCAATGCCACACTGCAAGCCCTCGCGTCCTTTCCGCCCATCCTCTCCCACCTCCTCCACTTCACCCTCCTCTCTTCGCTCGCCCGCTCCTCTTTTCTCCGCCTAGCCATCACCACTGATTTCCGGTGGCTGGCGTGGCAAATGCTGGTTGGGCCTGGCACGTGGCAACGGCAGTGGCGCTAGAGTGGGGAATATGGGTGGCAGGGAGAGCTGGACGGTGGGTGGCGTGGTAGATGCCAGCGATGTTAAAAGGGCAGTGGGGCGAAGCGTTCCCATTGTGTGGGGGCAAGAGCAGCAGGTGAGAGCTGTGAGGAAAGGCAGGATGATCAGTTGAGTAGGCAAGGTCTGCTTTATGTAAGGATGAGAGTTGTGAATGCTCTCAAGGCAGCAGATACTGATAGGGTAACATGAGAGAGGGGATGTCGATGAAATTGCAGAAGAAGGGTTTTACTATGCATGCTGTTGGTGTCAATGTGATGTGATGCCTTGAAAAGATCTCAATTCCTATTAATTCTCCTACCCCTTCGTTTTCCTGTTGTGAGATTTGTCCCTTGTTTGAGAGAACTAGGCTGCATCTGTAAAAACCTCTTGATAAACCCCCTGCTAGTCCCTCACACACCCTTTTTTGTGTCTAACTCGTCCTGACTGTAAGTTGCCCAGTTTTTCTTCCTGGTCCCTCACTCACCCATCTCGCCCATCTCGCCCATCCCGCCGCTGCCACCATCGACGCTGCCACCACCTCTCCCGGCCACACCCACACGCCAACCCATGCACATGCCCCCACCCTCGCCCACGCCCACACACATGGACCTGCCCACATCCGCACGCCAGCCCTAGGAGAAGGCCTGGCGGGAGGATGCAAGGAAGGAGGGCTGGGACGTGATGAAGAGAGGGTTGGAGAGACGAGAGAGACGGGTGGGGTCAGGGAGAAACAAAAGGCGAGCACTGAGGACAGGAGTGAATGTGCTGTTTCAGCAATTTCCTGTCAACGGTGGGGGTGGTGAGGGAGTGTGAGGGGCGTGGCGCGAGAAAGAGAGCGGTGAGGAGAAGTTTTTCTGTCTCTCACTTCCCATCTCCTCCTACCCCGTGTCTCCTGCACCTCACTCCACCACTGCTGGATCTGCAGCTCCTGCTGCTCCTGCTGGCTCTACTGCTAGTGCACGCAGCAGCAGAGGTACCAGAGGCGATGATACCGATCCCAGTGCTGCTGGCACTGATCGCGGTGTTGCCGCCTCTCTCACTCACCATCCGCTCTTCGTTGCAAAATCTATTCCAGGTACAAGTTATTCCAGGTACAATGTATTCCAGGTGCAACCTGCTTCCAATCCCTTGCACCTGATTGCTATTTATTTGCTTTCTCATTCACACCAGGTACCATCCGTTTCGCTTCATAATTTCTCTCGGGCGTGCACCCAGTGTCACCACTCTCCACCGTGCCGCACCTCCCAAGCCTTTCTGTGCCTTCCTCGCATCCTCGTCCTCCACCTCAACCGATTCCAAACTACATTCCGCTCCACTCCATGCCTTGAGAAACCCACTTTGTCCCTTGGAGAGACCAATCCTCCCCTCACAGCCCCCAACGTAGCACCCCCTCCCCACCGCCTCCCTTGTGTGCCCTTCCCTGCCCAACTGTCTTCTGAGATTGCTCAACACACACACCCTACCCCCCCATTCCCTGAAAGCACCTCATGTTCTGTGTCCACGACATCTGCCCTTCCCTCTGCTCTGTCTAGCAAGGGTGCCTCATGCTGCAACCAACCAGCCCAGCCTCCTCTCGCTCACCCGCTTCTCCTCCTGTGCCTGCTGCTGGGGCTTCGTCTATCAACCCCTTCTCACTGCCAAATGCAGCAGCCAGGCACGTGGTACTCAATGGGTTGGTATCTAAGGGGGTGGTTTGCGGGCTTAAGGGTGGGGGGGCTGATAAGATGTGTGAGGGAGGTGGGTGGAGATGCGGGGGGGAATGAAAATTGGGGAGGGTCAGGAAGGGCAGCTGGTTGAGAAGGTGGAGGCGCAGCTGGTTGGGAGAAGAAATTTGGACAGAGAGGGGAAGGAAGAAGAGCGAGATGAGGGGCAAGTGCCGGAAGGCGAGGGTTGGGAGTGTGAAGAGGAGAATAAAGAGGTGGAGGAGGATTGGGCGGAGCTGCTGGAAGGAGCGGCTGGTGTGATTGGGGAGGGCGCACGCGGTTCAGCGGATGACAGCACACCTAAAAGGGCACAGTGAGGAAGAGTATCAGTGGAGTGGGTGGTGATGCTGACGTGGAGGGAAAGGAGGTGAGTTGGGGGCGATATGAGTGCAGGTAGAACATGGCTCGGGTAAACGTTCAACACTGCCGTATGTCTTGACGTGGGTGAGTTATCACGCAGTATTGTTGGATTTCGCGAATAAGCTTTCCCAGCAATTGTCTTGTACCCTTTTATGCTGCTATATTGTGCATTGACTCTATCTGTTTTTACTTCTCTGTTCTGTTGCCAACTATGGTGTTCACCACATCAGGTCTCTTTGGCGCAGCAGCAATGCACGAGTCCGTTTCTTTGGCAAGCCTATTGTATTGCTCAGGCTAGGAAAGGAAGTGTTTTGGCATAGGAAATCCGTTTCTGCTGTATAAGGGATGCTATAAAAGTTTGAAAATATTATTCATGTATCATGTTCCCACATTTCTTCCCCTCTACCCCTCGTCCACCATGGTCTGGAAGCTATTGTTTGATATTTTCCGTCTTGATTCTTTCACACAGCAGCACGACGGCATGACGGTAGCATACCACAGTCCCACTTCCACCTTTAAGTTCATACGTCGTTGCTCCCACCCCCTTCTGGTATCTCCACATTACCACAGCCATGTGGCAGCTCCCTATTCTCTCTGCTGGCCATGGCGCAACACACGGGGACCCATGTGGCGCATTGTCATTACATTGCTGACATGACGGAAGACAGCCTGTCACCACCTGCAAATGTTGATCTTCCAAAGTCTATGAAAATCCAATGAACGAGACAAGAGCCATTTGGCAGTGTTAGTGTGTGGTTGTCTAGCTTGGAAAAAATTATATGTAGTTACTTCATAGATCGGTAATTTCTTGCTGAAGCAGTTCATGCTTTCCAAACGGATCCAGCTTCTGAACTGGAGTTCCGTATAGCGAAGCTTGCAGCTGCAATACTTCTTCGGTCAGTCGGGTATGTATTTCCTAAGGAGTTAAACAAAATGTACATTTCTTTCCGCCACACCGCGACTCGAAATCGCAATCTAGGGTCAGACGCCGCTCCCGTGCTCATTGAAAACACCAACGGGAAAATGAACCAACGAAAACCCTCCTAATCTAAAACAGATACTTGACTACCCTCCAATTTTCGAATCCATAGGGAATGCAGCAGTCGAATCCAGCAACCCTATCCAAACTGACGAGAGCAACGACTGAAATGGCGTGATTTTTGTGAGTGAGGCAATCAGACGGCAAAGTCGAACAAGTCAGAGAGCAACAGCAAGAACTGAGCAGAGAGTAATGGCAAGAACGGAGCAGAGAGCAACGGCAAGAACTGAGCAGAGAGCAACGCAAGAACGGAGCAGAGAGCAAAGAAGAGAGGCACTAGGCGAGAGATCCGAATTGCATCAGCAAGATAGCAGTCACCATTTAATTTATATTTGAGAAGCTGTTGTCCATAACATAATCGAAGCCAGCGTACTTGCTTTCCCACTCTTTTTACCTGGCTGATTTAAAACCTGAGGTAGTATAATGGCGTGTTTGCACATTAATAGCCTTCCTGACGAGCTACTCGTTGCCATCTTATAGCCAAGGGCACTACAGGTGGGTTTGTCGGCTGGTAGAACTGTGCATATGGGCTGGAAGTGGTTGGTTGGTGTTGAGAGGCCTGAAAGAGCATGGGTGAGAGGTGGGCATTCTGCACCACCTGGCGGGGCACCCCCGCGTGGTGCAGGTGGGCGCAGGATGGGTTGATTGGTGGGGCCTTACAAGTGGTGCACGATCAGATCAGCTTCTTGTCCCTTCCCAGTCCTCCCTTTCCTTCCCTCTCTTCCCTTCCCTTCCCTTTCCTTCCCTTCCCTTCCCTCTCCCGTAGCGAGTGCGACACCGTGCGTCTCATCAGCACAATCATATCGGTCGTGCACTGCTGCCACACCATGAACGTCGTGCACTGCTGCCACACCATGAACGTCGTGCATCGTGGCCTCAAGCCGCAAGACTGCCTTGACTTTGCTTCTCCATGCCTTGACTTCCCTTCTCCATGCCTTAAATTCCTTTCTCCTTGTTTGAGTGTTTATGAGAGTCTGGGGGTGCATGAGAGTGTTTGCAAGTGTATGCACGAGTGTGCGAGTGAATGAGAGACTCTATTACGTAGGAGCGTGGATGAGAGCCTGACAGGCACTGCATCTGGTGCCTAAGATGGTACCCTACTATAGAAGGAGGGACGAAGCGAGGACATATGTGTGGTGATATGGTACACATGGTCCTTTAATACCCTTCCTCCTTTCCCATCCCTCCCCTCACCCTCCCTCCACGCCCTCTTCCCCCCTCTCTTCTCGTTCCCCCAGGCTAGCATATCTCAGCAAGTCTAGCGAGCGGTCTGCTCCGCTGTATCTAGCCCCTTTCCCGCTCACTTCCTTCCCTTTGTCCCACTCACTTGTGTCGGTCTATCCCTCTGCCCCTCACCACAATGCAAGCCCATATCAGCAGCCTTGGAAGGGTACATCAGTTCCCGCCCCTGGAACATGGGCGCACTGTTCACGGGAACCTGCGGGCTGCTGAGTGCTTTCCTTGCCAATGCTGCATGGCACCTCCCCTTCAACACCCATCACCCTCATCCGTTCCCCCTCTCCCCCCCTCGTACCACCAGCGCTCCGCTCTGCATTTTTTTGTCCCACACCGGATTCTGGCCCACTGACCCAAGCGACACCAAAGTGACATCACTATCATGGGCCACTCGGCTGTTTACACTTTCCCCCTCCCCGCACCCCTCTCCCTCCTCCCCCCTCTCTTCCGCCCCTCGTAGCTGCGCACCTTCTTCTGCCCCACCGACTCCCACCCCTATGGCACGTCCGCACTGTTCACCTCCACAGTAGCACGCCAGAGGCTACTGACGTGGCAGAGGTGCGCAGAAGGCTGCAGGCGATGCTGGGCTGCTGGGTGCCTTGTGGCGGTGTTTGATGGTCGAGCAAGAGGGAAAAGGAGGTGCGTTCTCAGGGAGTGAGAGAGGGGTGGTGAGCTGGGCTGCTTGAGTCACTAGTTGGTGGGTCACGGCGAGGGGAGGCTGGGTGTGGCTACTGGGTGCCTCGTGGCAGTTCTCTTCCACAGGGGCAGTTCTCTTCCACAGGGGCAGTTCTCTTCCACAAGGGCAGTTCTCTTTCACAGGGGCAGTTCTCTTCCGCAGGGGCAGTTCTCATCCGCAGGGGCAGTTCTCTTTTGCAGGGGCAGTTCTCTTTTGCAGGGGCAGTTCTCTTCCGCAGGGGCAGTTCTCTTCCGCAGGGGGAGTTCTCTTCCGCAGGGGCAGTTCTCTTCCGCAGGGGAAGTTCTCTTCCGCAGGGGCGGTTCTCTTCCGCAGGGGCGGTTCTCTTCCGCAGGGGCGGTTCTCTTCCGCAGGGGCCGCAGGGGCAGTTCTCTTCCGCAGGGGCAGTTCTCTTCCGCAGGGGCAGATCTCTTCCGCAGGGGCAGTTCTCTTCCGCAGGGGCAGTTCTCTTCCGCAGGGGCAGTTCTCTTCCGCAGGGGCAGTTCTCTTCCGCAGGGACAGTTCTCTTCCCCAGGGGCAGTTCTCTTCCTCAGGGGCAGTTCTCTTCCACAGGGGCAGTTCTCTTCCACAAGGGCAGTTCTCTTCCACAAGGGCAGTTCTCTTCCAGAGGGGCAGTTCTCTTCCACAGGGGCAGTTCTCTTCCACAGGGGCAGTTCTCTTCCACAGGGGCAAATCTCTTCCACAGGGGCAGTTCTCTTCTACAAGGGCAGTTCTCTTCCACAGGGGCAGTTCTCTTCCACAGAGGCAGTTCTCTTCCATAGGGGCAGTTCTCTTCCACAAGGGCAGTTCTCTTCCATAGGGGCAGTTCTCTTCCACAGAGGCAGTTCTCTCCTCACCCTGCGACCCCTCCCCGTCCTCCACGCCTTCTCTGTCACAGCGCAATGCGTGTTGCTACTTTCCCGCTGAAATGTGACATTTACTGCCATGACAGTGACGCATGGAGGTCGTGATCGCATCAAGTGCCTTGCGCTGTGATTGGGACGCGATTGACCATGTGACAGATTCTGCAATTGCCCCTCCACCCTTCCCACCCCCCGGTTACACTTGCCCCTTTCCGTGTCGGTGCTCGTCTGCTGTGCCGTGGCATATGTGGAACATCCGGGAGCCAACATAATGGAGGGGTGGAACGGCTTGGAAGGATCTTGCACCTGCAGCAGCAGCAGCAGCAGACGAAGCGCCGGGCAGGGACGAGGCGAGGGGGCCAGTCGACGGACAACAAGTAAGGAGGAGACGAGAGCGAGTCAAGAGAGGGGGCAATGGCACAAGCAGGCGGGTTGGGGCATTGTGAGGCTTCAAAGTGTGAACATGATGCACCGAGAGCAGAGTGCACTAGGGTAGATTACTGCTCTTCTCCTTCTTTCACTGCTCAATCTTCCTTACCCACGTAAAATTACCCCCCCTTCTTCTCTTCGAATTCGTTGCCCCTACACAATTTGCAGTTCACATGTATCTGCAACCCCTTCACTTTCTCCACCTTCCACTTTATTCCCCCTTTCTTAACCTTTCTCTCTCGTCTTTTTTCCCCCACCCTACCTCTTTTCTTTTGTTGAACCCTCCTTCCCCCCTCCCTTTCCCTTCCGTTCACCCTTTCTTCCTCCCTCCTTTCTGCTCGCTATCGTACCCGTCTCTGTTCCCTCCCTACTATCTGTCTTCTCAACAGTGTTGCACATGCTCTCAACATGTGTTACGTCAATGCCACACTGCAAGCCCTCGCGTCCTTTCCGCCCATCCTCTCCCACCTCCTCCACTTCACCCTCCTCTCTTCGCTCGCCCGCTCCTCTTTTCTCCGCCTAGCCATCACCACTGATTTCCGGTGGCTGGCGTGGCAAATGCTGGTTGGGCCTGGCACGTGGCAACGGCAGTGGCGCTAGAGTGGGGAATATGGGTGGCAGGGAGAGCTGGACGGTGGGTGGCGTGGTAGATGCCAGCGATGTTAAAAGGGCAGTGGGGCGAAGCGTTCCCATTGTGTGGGGGCAAGAGCAGCAGGTGAGAGCTGTGAGGAAAGGCAGGATGATCAGTTGAGTAGGCAAGGTCTGCTTTATGTAAGGATGAGAGTTGTGAATGCTCTCAAGGCAGCAGATACTGATAGGGTAACATGAGAGAGGGGATGTCGATGAAATTGCAGAAGAAGGGTTTTACTATGCATGCTGTTGGTGTCAATGTGATGTGATGCCTTGAAAAGATCTCAATTCCTATTAATTCTCCTACCCCTTCGTTTTCCTGTTGTGAGATTTGTCCCTTGTTTGAGAGAACTAGGCTGCATCTGTAAAAACCTCTTGATAAACCCCCTGCTAGTCCCTCACACACCCTTTTTTGTGTCTAACTCGTCCTGACTGTAAGTTGCCCAGTTTTTCTTCCTGGTCCCTCACTCACCCATCTCGCCCATCTCGCCCATCCCGCCGCTGCCACCATCGACGCTGCCACCACCTCTCCCGGCCACACCCACACGCCAACCCATGCACATGCCCCCACCCTCGCCCACGCCCACACACATGGACCTGCCCACATCCGCACGCCAGCCCTAGGAGAAGGCCTGGCGGGAGGATGCAAGGAAGGAGGGCTGGGACGTGATGAAGAGAGGGTTGGAGAGACGAGAGAGACGGGTGGGGTCAGGGAGAAACAAAAGGCGAGCACTGAGGACAGGAGTGAATGTGCTGTTTCAGCAATTTCCTGTCAACGGTGGGGGTGGTGAGGGAGTGTGAGGGGCGTGGCGCGAGAAAGAGAGCGGTGAGGAGAAGTTTTTCTGTCTCTCACTTCCCATCTCCTCCTACCCCGTGTCTCCTGCACCTCACTCCACCACTGCTGGATCTGCAGCTCCTGCTGCTCCTGCTGGCTCTACTGCTAGTGCACGCAGCAGCAGAGGTACCAGAGGCGATGATACCGATCCCAGTGCTGCTGGCACTGATCGCGGTGTTGCCGCCTCTCTCACTCACCATCCGCTCTTCGTTGCAAAATCTATTCCAGGTACAAGTTATTCCAGGTACAATGTATTCCAGGTGCAACCTGCTTCCAATCCCTTGCACCTGATTGCTATTTATTTGCTTTCTCATTCACACCAGGTACCATCCGTTTCGCTTCATAATTTCTCTCGGGCGTGCACCCAGTGTCACCACTCTCCACCGTGCCGCACCTCCCAAGCCTTTCTGTGCCTTCCTCGCATCCTCGTCCTCCACCTCAACCGATTCCAAACTACATTCCGCTCCACTCCATGCCTTGAGAAACCCACTTTGTCCCTTGGAGAGACCAATCCTCCCCTCACAGCCCCCAACGTAGCACCCCCTCCCCACCGCCTCCCTTGTGTGCCCTTCCCTGCCCAACTGTCTTCTGAGATTGCTCAACACACACACCCTACCCCCCCATTCCCTGAAAGCACCTCATGTTCTGTGTCCACGACATCTGCCCTTCCCTCTGCTCTGTCTAGCAAGGGTGCCTCATGCTGCAACCAACCAGCCCAGCCTCCTCTCGCTCACCCGCTTCTCCTCCTGTGCCTGCTGCTGGGGCTTCGTCTATCAACCCCTTCTCACTGCCAAATGCAGCAGCCAGGCACGTGGTACTCAATGGGTTGGTATCTAAGGGGGTGGTTTGCGGGCTTAAGGGTGGGGGGGCTGATAAGATGTGTGAGGGAGGTGGGTGGAGATGCGGGGGGGAATGAAAATTGGGGAGGGTCAGGAAGGGCAGCTGGTTGAGAAGGTGGAGGCGCAGCTGGTTGGGAGAAGAAATTTGGACAGAGAGGGGAAGGAAGAAGAGCGAGATGAGGGGCAAGTGCCGGAAGGCGAGGGTTGGGAGTGTGAAGAGGAGAATAAAGAGGTGGAGGAGGATTGGGCGGAGCTGCTGGAAGGAGCGGCTGGTGTGATTGGGGAGGGCGCACGCGGTTCAGCGGATGACAGCACACCTAAAAGGGCACAGTGAGGAAGAGTATCAGTGGAGTGGGTGGTGATGCTGACGTGGAGGGAAAGGAGGTGAGTTGGGGGCGATATGAGTGCAGGTAGAACATGGCTCGGGTAAACGTTCAACACTGCCGTATGTCTTGACGTGGGTGAGTTATCACGCAGTATTGTTGGATTTCGCGAATAAGCTTTCCCAGCAATTGTCTTGTACCCTTTTATGCTGCTATATTGTGCATTGACTCTATCTGTTTTTACTTCTCTGTTCTGTTGCCAACTATGGTGTTCACCACATCAGGTCTCTTTGGCGCAGCAGCAATGCACGAGTCCGTTTCTTTGGCAAGCCTATTGTATTGCTCAGGCTAGGAAAGGAAGTGTTTTGGCATAGGAAATCCGTTTCTGCTGTATAAGGGATGCTATAAAAGTTTGAAAATATTATTCATGTATCATGTTCCCACATTTCTTCCCCTCTACCCCTCGTCCACCATGGTCTGGAAGCTATTGTTTGATATTTTCCGTCTTGATTCTTTCCCACAGCAGCACGACGGCATGACGGTAGCATACCACAGTCCCACTTCCACCTTTAAGTTCATACGTCGTTGCTCCCACCCCCTTCTGGTATCTCCACATTACCACAGCCATGTGGCAGCTCCCTATTCTCTCTGCTGGCCATGGCGCAACACACGGGGACCCATGTGGCGCATTGTCATTACATTGCTGACATGACGGAAGACAGCCTGTCACCACCTGCAAATGTTGATCTTCCAAAGTCTATGAAAATCCAATGAACGAGACAAGAGCCATTTGGCAGTGTTAGTGTGTGGTTGTCTAGCTTGGAAAAAATTATATGTAGTTACTTCATAGATCGGTAATTTCTTGCTGAAGCAGTTCATGCTTTCCAAACGGATCCAGCTTCTGAACTGGAGTTCCGTATAGCGAAGCTTGCAGCTGCAATACTTCTTCGGTCAGTCGGGTATGTATTTCCTAAGGAGTTAAACAAAATGTACATTTCTTTCCGCCACACCGCGACTCGAAATCGCAATCTAGGGTCAGACGCCGCTCCCGTGCTCATTGAAAACACCAACGGGAAAATGAACCAACGAAAACCCTCCTAATCTAAAACAGATACTTGACTACCCTCCAATTTTCGAATCCATAGGGAATGCAGCAGTCGAATCCAGCAACCCTATCCAAACTGACGAGAGCAACGACTGAAATGGCGTGATTTTTGTGAGTGAGGCAATCAGACGGCAAAGTCGAACAAGTCAGAGAGCAACAGCAAGAACTGAGCAGAGAGTAATGGCAAGAACGGAGCAGAGAGCAACGGCAAGAACTGAGCAGAGAGCAACGCAAGAACGGAGCAGAGAGCAAAGAAGAGAGGCACTAGGCGAGAGATCCGAATTGCATCAGCAAGATAGCAGTCACCATTTAATTTATATTTGAGAAGCTGTTGTCCATAACATAATCGAAGCCAGCGTACTTGCTTTCCCACTCTTTTTACCTGGCTGATTTAAAACCTGAGGTAGTATAATGGCGTGTTTGCACATTAATAGCCTTCCTGACGAGCTACTCGTTGCCATCTTATAGCCAAGGGCACTACAGGTGGGTTTGTCGGCTGGTAGAACTGTGCATATGGGCTGGAAGTGGTTGGTTGGTGTTGAGAGGCCTGAAAGAGCATGGGTGAGAGGTGGGCATTCTGCACCACCTGGCGGGGCACCCCCGCGTGGTGCAGGTGGGCGCAGGATGGGTTGATTGGTGGGGCCTTACAAGTGGTGCACGATCAGATCAGCTTCTTGTCCCTTCCCAGTCCTCCCTTTCCTTCCCTCTCTTCCCTTCCCTTCCCTTTCCTTCCCTTCCCTTCCCTCTCCCGTAGCGAGTGCGACACCGTGCGTCTCATCAGCACAATCATATCGGTCGTGCACTGCTGCCACACCATGAACGTCGTGCACTGCTGCCACACCATGAACGTCGTGCATCGTGGCCTCAAGCCGCAAGACTGCCTTGACTTTGCTTCTCCATGCCTTGACTTCCCTTCTCCATGCCTTAAATTCCTTTCTCCTTGTTTGAGTGTTTATGAGAGTCTGGGGGTGCATGAGAGTGTTTGCAAGTGTATGCACGAGTGTGCGAGTGAATGAGAGACTCTATTACGTAGGAGCGTGGATGAGAGCCTGACAGGCACTGCATCTGGTGCCTAAGATGGTACCCTACTATAGAAGGAGGGACGAAGCGAGGACATATGTGTGGTGATATGGTCCACATGGTCCTTTAATACCCTTCCTCCTTTCCCATCCCTCCCCTCACCCTCCCTCCACGCCCTCTTCCCCCCTCTCTTCTCGTTCCCCCAGGCTAGCATATCTCAGCAAGTCTAGCGAGCGGTCTGCTCCGCTGTATCTAGCCCCTTTCCCGCTCACTTCCTTCCCTTTGTCCCACTCACTTGTGTCGGTCTATCCCTCTGCCCCTCACCACAATGCAAGCCCATATCAGCAGCCTTGGAAGGGTACATCAGTTCCCGCCCCTGGAACATGGGCGCACTGTTCACGGGAACCTGCGGGCTGCTGAGTGCTTTCCTTGCCAATGCTGCATGGCACCTCCCCTTCAACACCCATCACCCTCATCCGTTCCCCCTCTCCCCCCCTCGTACCACCAGCGCTCCGCTCTGCATTTTTTTGTCCCACACCGGATTCTGGCCCACTGACCCAAGCGACACCAAAGTGACATCACTATCATGGGCCACTCGGCTGTTTACACTTTCCCCCTCCCCGCACCCCTCTCCCTCCTCCCCCCTCTCTTCCGCCCCTCGTAGCTGCGCACCTTCTTCTGCCCCACCGACTCCCACCCCTATGGCACGTCCGCACTGTTCACCTCCACAGTAGCACGCCAGAGGCTACTGACGTGGCAGAGGTGCGCAGAAGGCTGCAGGCGATGCTGGGCTGCTGGGTGCCTTGTGGCGGTGTTTGATGGTCGAGCAAGAGGGAAAAGGAGGTGCGTTCTCAGGGAGTGAGAGAGGGGTGGTGAGCTGGGCTGCTTGAGTCACTAGTTGGTGGGTCACGGCGAGGGGAGGCTGGGTGTGGCTACTGGGTGCCTCGTGGCAGTTCTCTTCCACAGGGGCAGTTCTCTTCCACAGGGGCAGTTCTCTTCCACAAGGGCAGTTCTCTTTCACAGGGGCAGTTCTCTTCCGCAGGGGCAGTTCTCATCCGCAGGGGCAGTTCTCTTTTGCAGGGGCAGTTCTCTTTTGCAGGGGCAGTTCTCTTCCGCAGGGGCAGTTCTCTTCCGCAGGGGGAGTTCTCTTCCGCAGGGGCAGTTCTCTTCCGCAGGGGAAGTTCTCTTCCGCAGGGGCGGTTCTCTTCCGCAGGGGCGGTTCTCTTCCGCAGGGGCGGTTCTCTTCCGCAGGGGCCGCAGGGGCAGTTCTCTTCCGCAGGGGCAGTTCTCTTCCGCAGGGGCAGATCTCTTCCGCAGGGGCAGTTCTCTTCCGCAGGGGCAGTTCTCTTCCGCAGGGGCAGTTCTCTTCCGCAGGGGCAGTTCTCTTCCGCAGGGACAGTTCTCTTCCCCAGGGGCAGTTCTCTTCCTCAGGGGCAGTTCTCTTCCACAGGGGCAGTTCTCTTCCACAAGGGCAGTTCTCTTCCACAAGGGCAGTTCTCTTCCAGAGGGGCAGTTCTCTTCCACAGGGGCAGTTCTCTTCCACAGGGGCAGTTCTCTTCCACAGGGGCAAATCTCTTCCACAGGGGCAGTTCTCTTCTACAAGGGCAGTTCTCTTCCACAGGGGCAGTTCTCTTCCACAGAGGCAGTTCTCTTCCATAGGGGCAGTTCTCTTCCACAAGGGCAGTTCTCTTCCACAGGGGCAGTTCTCTTCCACAGAGGCAGTTCTCTCCTCACCCTGCGACCCCTCCCCGTCCTCCACGCCTTCTCTGTCACAGCGCAATGCGTGTTGCTACTTTCCCGCTGAAATGTGACATTTACTGCCATGACAGTGACGCATGGAGGTCGTGATCGCATCAAGTGCCTTGCGCTGTGATTGGGACGCGATTGACCATGTGACAGATTCTGCAATTGCCCCTCCACCCTTCCCACCCCCCGGTTACACTTGCCCCTTTCCGTGTCGGTGCTCGTCTGCTGTGCCGTGGCATATGTGGAACATCCGGGAGCCAACATAATGGAGGGGTGGAACGGCTTGGAAGGATCTTGCACCTGCAGCAGCAGCAGCAGCAGCAGACGAAGCGCCGGGCAGGGACGAGGCGAGGGGGCCGGTCGACGGACAACAAGTAAGGAGGAGACGAGAGCGAGTCAAGAGAGGGGGCAATGGCACAAGCAGGCGGGTTGGGGCATTGTGAGGCTTCAAAGTGTGAACATGATGCACCGAGAGCAGAGTGCACTAGGGTAGATTACTGCTCTTCTCCTTCTTTCACTGCTCAATCTTCCTTACCCACGTAAAATTACCCCCCCTTCTTCTCTTCGAATTCGTTGCCCCTACACAATTTGCAGTTCACATGTATCTGCAACCCCTTCACTTTCTCCACCTTCCACTTTATTCCCCCTTTCTTAACCTTTCTCTCTCGTCTTTTTTCCCCCACCCTACCTCTTTTCTTTTGTTGAACCCTCCTTCCCCCCTCCCTTTCCCTTCCGTTCACCCTTTCTTCCTCCCTCCTTTCTGCTCGCTATCGTACCCGTCTCTGTTCCCTCCCTACTATCTGTCTTCTCAACAGTGTTGCACATGCTCTCAACATGTGTTACGTCAATGCCACACTGCAAGCCCTCGCGTCCTTTCCGCCCATCCTCTCCCACCTCCTCCACTTCACCCTCCTCTCTTCGCTCGCCCGCTCCTCTTTTCTCCGCCTAGCCATCACCACTGATTTCCGGTGGCTGGCGTGGCAAATGCTGGTTGGGCCTGGCACGTGGCAACGGCAGTGGCGCTAGAGTGGGGAATATGGGTGGCAGGGAGAGCTGGACGGTGGGTGGCGTGGTAGATGCCAGCGATGTTAAAAGGGCAGTGGGGCGAAGCGTTCCCATTGTGTGGGGGCAAGAGCAGCAGGTGAGAGCTGTGAGGAAAGGCAGGATGATCAGTTGAGTAGGCAAGGTCTGCTTTATGTAAGGATGAGAGTTGTGAATGCTCTCAAGGCAGCAGATACTGATAGGGTAACATGAGAGAGGGGATGTCGATGAAATTGCAGAAGAAGGGTTTTACTATGCATGCTGTTGGTGTCAATGTGATGTGATGCCTTGAAAAGATCTCAATTCCTATTAATTCTCCTACCCCTTCGTTTTCCTGTTGTGAGATTTGTCCCTTGTTTGAGAGAACTAGGCTGCATCTGTAAAAACCTCTTGATAAACCCCCTGCTAGTCCCTCACACACCCTTTTTTGTGTCTAACTCGTCCTGACTGTAAGTTGCCCAGTTTTTCTTCCTGGTCCCTCACTCACCCATCTCGCCCATCTCGCCCATCCCGCCGCTGCCACCATCGACGCTGCCACCACCTCTCCCGGCCACACCCACACGCCAACCCATGCACATGCCCCCACCCTCGCCCACGCCCACACACATGGACCTGCCCACATCCGCACGCCAGCCCTAGGAGAAGGCCTGGCGGGAGGATGCAAGGAAGGAGGGCTGGGACGTGATGAAGAGAGGGTTGGAGAGACGAGAGAGACGGGTGGGGTCAGGGAGAAACAAAAGGCGAGCACTGAGGACAGGAGTGAATGTGCTGTTTCAGCAATTTCCTGTCAACGGTGGGGGTGGTGAGGGAGTGTGAGGGGCGTGGCGCGAGAAAGAGAGCGGTGAGGAGAAGTTTTTCTGTCTCTCACTTCCCATCTCCTCCTACCCCGTGTCTCCTGCACCTCACTCCACCACTGCTGGATCTGCAGCTCCTGCTGCTCCTGCTGGCTCTACTGCTAGTGCACGCAGCAGCAGAGGTACCAGAGGCGATGATACCGATCCCAGTGCTGCTGGCACTGATCGCGGTGTTGCCGCCTCTCTCACTCACCATCCGCTCTTCGTTGCAAAATCTATTCCAGGTACAAGTTATTCCAGGTACAATGTATTCCAGGTGCAACCTGCTTCCAATCCCTTGCACCTGATTGCTATTTATTTGCTTTCTCATTCACACCAGGTACCATCCGTTTCGCTTCATAATTTCTCTCGGGCGTGCACCCAGTGTCACCACTCTCCACCGTGCCGCACCTCCCAAGCCTTTCTGTGCCTTCCTCGCATCCTCGTCCTCCACCTCAACCGATTCCAAACTACATTCCGCTCCACTCCATGCCTTGAGAAACCCACTTTGTCCCTTGGAGAGACCAATCCTCCCCTCACAGCCCCCAACGTAGCACCCCCTCCCCACCGCCTCCCTTGTGTGCCCTTCCCTGCCCAACTGTCTTCTGAGATTGCTCAACACACACACCCTACCCCCCCATTCCCTGAAAGCACCTCATGTTCTGTGTCCACGACATCTGCCCTTCCCTCTGCTCTGTCTAGCAAGGGTGCCTCATGCTGCAACCAACCAGCCCAGCCTCCTCTCGCTCACCCGCTTCTCCTCCTGTGCCTGCTGCTGGGGCTTCGTCTATCAACCCCTTCTCACTGCCAAATGCAGCAGCCAGGCACGTGGTACTCAATGGGTTGGTATCTAAGGGGGTGGTTTGCGGGCTTAAGGGTGGGGGGGCTGATAAGATGTGTGAGGGAGGTGGGTGGAGATGCGGGGGGGAATGAAAATTGGGGAGGGTCAGGAAGGGCAGCTGGTTGAGAAGGTGGAGGCGCAGCTGGTTGGGAGAAGAAATTTGGACAGAGAGGGGAAGGAAGAAGAGCGAGATGAGGGGCAAGTGCCGGAAGGCGAGGGTTGGGAGTGTGAAGAGGAGAATAAAGAGGTGGAGGAGGATTGGGCGGAGCTGCTGGAAGGAGCGGCTGGTGTGATTGGGGAGGGCGCACGCGGTTCAGCGGATGACAGCACACCTAAAAGGGCACAGTGAGGAAGAGTATCAGTGGAGTGGGTGGTGATGCTGACGTGGAGGGAAAGGAGGTGAGTTGGGGGCGATATGAGTGCAGGTAGAACATGGCTCGGGTAAACGTTCAACACTGCCGTATGTCTTGACGTGGGTGAGTTATCACGCAGTATTGTTGGATTTCGCGAATAAGCTTTCCCAGCAATTGTCTTGTACCCTTTTATGCTGCTATATTGTGCATTGACTCTATCTGTTTTTACTTCTCTGTTCTGTTGCCAACTATGGTGTTCACCACATCAGGTCTCTTTGGCGCAGCAGCAATGCACGAGTCCGTTTCTTTGGCAAGCCTATTGTATTGCTCAGGCTAGGAAAGGAAGTGTTTTGGCATAGGAAATCCGTTTCTGCTGTATAAGGGATGCTATAAAAGTTTGAAAATATTATTCATGTATCATGTTCCCACATTTCTTCCCCTCTACCCCTCGTCCACCATGGTCTGGAAGCTATTGTTTGATATTTTCCGTCTTGATTCTTTCACACAGCAGCACGACGGCATGACGGTAGCATACCACAGTCCCACTTCCACCTTTAAGTTCATACGTCGTTGCTCCCACCCCCTTCTGGTATCTCCACATTACCACAGCCATGTGGCAGCTCCCTATTCTCTCTGCTGGCCATGGCGCAACACACGGGGACCCATGTGGCGCATTGTCATTACATTGCTGACATGACGGAAGACAGCCTGTCACCACCTGCAAATGTTGATCTTCCAAAGTCTATGAAAATCCAATGAACGAGACAAGAGCCATTTGGCAGTGTTAGTGTGTGGTTGTCTAGCTTGGAAAAAATTATATGTAGTTACTTCATAGATCGGTAATTTCTTGCTGAAGCAGTTCATGCTTTCCAAACGGATCCAGCTTCTGAACTGGAGTTCCGTATAGCGAAGCTTGCAGCTGCAATACTTCTTCGGTCAGTCGGGTATGTATTTCCTAAGGAGTTAAACAAAATGTACATTTCTTTCCGCCACACCGCGACTCGAAATCGCAATCTAGGGTCAGACGCCGCTCCCGTGCTCATTGAAAACACCAACGGGAAAATGAACCAACGAAAACCCTCCTAATCTAAAACAGATACTTGACTACCCTCCAATTTTCGAATCCATAGGGAATGCAGCAGTCGAATCCAGCAACCCTATCCAAACTGACGAGAGCAACGACTGAAATGGCGTGATTTTTGTGAGTGAGGCAATCAGACGGCAAAGTCGAACAAGTCAGAGAGCAACAGCAAGAACTGAGCAGAGAGTAATGGCAAGAACGGAGCAGAGAGCAACGGCAAGAACTGAGCAGAGAGCAACGCAAGAACGGAGCAGAGAGCAAAGAAGAGAGGCACTAGGCGAGAGATCCGAATTGCATCAGCAAGATAGCAGTCACCATTTAATTTATATTTGAGAAGCTGTTGTCCATAACATAATCGAAGCCAGCGTACTTGCTTTCCCACTCTTTTTACCTGGCTGATTTAAAACCTGAGGTAGTATAATGGCGTGTTCGCACATTAATAGCCTTCCTGACGAGCTACTCGTTGCCATCTTATAGCCAAGGGCACTACAGGTGGGTTTGTCGGCTGGTAGAACTGTGCATATGGGCTGGAAGTGGTTGGTTGGTGTTGAGAGGCCTGAAAGAGCATGGGTGAGAGGTGGGCATTCTGCACCACCTGGCGGGGCACCCCCGCGTGGTGCAGGTGGGCGCAGGATGGGTTGATTGGTGGGGCCTTACAAGTGGTGCACGATCAGATCAGCTTCTTGTCCCTTCCCAGTCCTCCCTTTCCTTCCCTCTCTTCCCTTCCCTTCCCTTTCCTTCCCTTCCCTTCCCTCTCCCGTAGCGAGTGCGACACCGTGCGTCTCATCAGCACAATCATATCGGTCGTGCACTGCTGCCACACCATGAACGTCGTGCACTGCTGCCACACCATGAACGTCGTGCATCGTGGCCTCAAGCCGCAAGACTGCCTTGACTTTGCTTCTCCATGCCTTGACTTCCCTTCTCCATGCCTTAAATTCCTTTCTCCTTGTTTGAGTGTTTATGAGAGTCTGGGGGTGCATGAGAGTGTTTGCAAGTGTATGCACGAGTGTGCGAGTGAATGAGAGACTCTATTACGTAGGAGCGTGGATGAGAGCCTGACAGGCACTGCATCTGGTGCCTAAGATGGTACCCTACTATAGAAGGAGGGACGAAGCGAGGACATATGTGTGGTGATATGGTCCACATGGTCCTTTAATACCCTTCCTCCTTTCCCATCCCTCCCCTCACCCTCCCTCCACGCCCTCTTCCCCCCTCTCTTCTCGTTCCCCCAGGCTAGCATATCTCAGCAAGTCTAGCGAGCGGTCTGCTCCGCTGTATCTAGCCCCTTTCCCGCTCACTTCCTTCCCTTTGTCCCACTCACTTGTGTCGGTCTATCCCTCTGCCCCTCACCACAATGCAAGCCCATATCAGCAGCCTTGGAAGGGTACATCAGTTCCCGCCCCTGGAACATGGGCGCACTGTTCACGGGAACCTGCGGGCTGCTGAGTGCTTTCCTTGCCAATGCTGCATGGCACCTCCCCTTCAACACCCATCACCCTCATCCGTTCCCCCTCTCCCCCCCTCGTACCACCAGCGCTCCGCTCTGCATTTTTTTGTCCCACACCGGATTCTGGCCCACTGACCCAAGCGACACCAAAGTGACATCACTATCATGGGCCACTCGGCTGTTTACACTTTCCCCCTCCCCGCACCCCTCTCCCTCCTCCCCCCTCTCTTCCGCCCCTCGTAGCTGCGCACCTTCTTCTGCCCCACCGACTCCCACCCCTATGGCACGTCCGCACTGTTCACCTCCACAGTAGCACGCCAGAGGCTACTGACGTGGCAGAGGTGCGCAGAAGGCTGCAGGCGATGCTGGGCTGCTGGGTGCCTTGTGGCGGTGTTTGATGGTCGAGCAAGAGGGAAAAGGAGGTGCGTTCTCAGGGAGTGAGAGAGGGGTGGTGAGCTGGGCTGCTTGAGTCACTAGTTGGTGGGTCACGGCGAGGGGAGGCTGGGTGTGGCTACTGGGTGCCTCGTGGCAGTTCTCTTCCACAGGGGCAGTTCTCTTCCACAGGGGCAGTTCTCTTCCACAAGGGCAGTTCTCTTTCACAGGGGCAGTTCTCTTCCGCAGGGGCAGTTCTCATCCGCAGGGGCAGTTCTCTTTTGCAGGGGCAGTTCTCTTTTGCAGGGGCAGTTCTCTTCCGCAGGGGCAGTTCTCTTCCGCAGGGGGAGTTCTCTTCCGCAGGGGCAGTTCTCTTCCGCAGGGGAAGTTCTCTTCCGCAGGGGCGGTTCTCTTCCGCAGGGGCGGTTCTCTTCCGCAGGGGCGGTTCTCTTCCGCAGGGGCCGCAGGGGCAGTTCTCTTCCGCAGGGGCAGTTCTCTTCCGCAGGGGCAGATCTCTTCCGCAGGGGCAGTTCTCTTCCGCAGGGGCAGTTCTCTTCCGCAGGGGCAGTTCTCTTCCGCAGGGGCAGTTCTCTTCCGCAGGGACAGTTCTCTTCCCCAGGGGCAGTTCTCTTCCTCAGGGGCAGTTCTCTTCCACAGGGGCAGTTCTCTTCCACAAGGGCAGTTCTCTTCCACAAGGGCAGTTCTCTTCCAGAGGGGCAGTTCTCTTCCACAGGGGCAGTTCTCTTCCACAGGGGCAGTTCTCTTCCACAGGGGCAAATCTCTTCCACAGGGGCAGTTCTTTTCTACAAGGGCAGTTCTCTTCCACAGGGGCAGTTCTCTTCCACAGAGGCAGTTCTCTTCCATAGGGGCAGTTCTCTTCCACAAGGGCAGTTCTCTTCCACAGGGGCAGTTCTCTTCCACAGAGGCAGTTCTCTCCTCACCCTGCGACCCCTCCCCGTCCTCCACGCCTTCTCTGTCACAGCGCAATGCGTGTTGCTACTTTCCCGCTGAAATGTGACATTTACTGCCATGACAGTGACGCATGGAGGTCGTGATCGCATCAAGTGCCTTGCGCTGTGATTGGGACGCGATTGACCATGTGACAGATTCTGCAATTGCCCCTCCACCCTTCCCACCCCCCGGTTACACTTGCCCCTTTCCGTGTCGGTGCTCGTCTGCTGTGCCGTGGCATATGTGGAACATCCGGGAGCCAACATAATGGAGGGGTGGAACGGCTTGGAAGGATCTTGCACCTGCAGCAGCAGCAGCAGCAGACGAAGCGCCGGGCAGGGACGAGGCGAGGGGGCCGGTCGACGGACAACAAGTAAGGAGGAGACGAGAGCGAGTCAAGAGAGGGGGCAATGGCACAAGCAGGCGGGTTGGGGCATTGTGAGGCTTCAAAGTGTGAACATGATGCACCGAGAGCAGAGTGCACTAGGGTAGATTACTGCTCTTCTCCTTCTTTCACTGCTCAATCTTCCTTACCCACGTAAAATTACCCCCCCTTCTTCTCTTCGAATTCGTTGCCCCTACACAATTTGCAGTTCACATGTATCTGCAACCCCTTCACTTTCTCCACCTTCCACTTTATTCCCCCTTTCTTAACCTTTCTCTCTCGTCTTTTTTCCCCCACCCTACCTCTTTTCTTTTGTTGAACCCTCCTTCCCCCCTCCCTTTCCCTTCCGTTCACCCTTTCTTCCTCCCTCCTTTCTGCTCGCTATCGTACCCGTCTCTGTTCCCTCCCTACTATCTGTCTTCTCAACAGTGTTGCACATGCTCTCAACATGTGTTACGTCAATGCCACACTGCAAGCCCTCGCGTCCTTTCCGCCCATCCTCTCCCACCTCCTCCACTTCACCCTCCTCTCTTCGCTCGCCCGCTCCTCTTTTCTCCGCCTAGCCATCACCACTGATTTCCGGTGGCTGGCGTGGCAAATGCTGGTTGGGCCTGGCACGTGGCAACGGCAGTGGCGCTAGAGTGGGGAATATGGGTGGCAGGGAGAGCTGGACGGTGGGTGGCGTGGTAGATGCCAGCGATGTTAAAAGGGCAGTGGGGCGAAGCGTTCCCATTGTGTGGGGGCAAGAGCAGCAGGTGAGAGCTGTGAGGAAAGGCAGGATGATCAGTTGAGTAGGCAAGGTCTGCTTTATGTAAGGATGAGAGTTGTGAATGCTCTCAAGGCAGCAGATACTGATAGGGTAACATGAGAGAGGGGATGTCGATGAAATTGCAGAAGAAGGGTTTTACTATGCATGCTGTTGGTGTCAATGTGATGTGATGCCTTGAAAAGATCTCAATTCCTATTAATTCTCCTACCCCTTCGTTTTCCTGTTGTGAGATTTGTCCCTTGTTTGAGAGAACTAGGCTGCATCTGTAAAAACCTCTTGATAAACCCCCTGCTAGTCCCTCACACACCCTTTTTTGTGTCTAACTCGTCCTGACTGTAAGTTGCCCAGTTTTTCTTCCTGGTCCCTCACTCACCCATCTCGCCCATCTCGCCCATCCCGCCGCTGCCACCATCGACGCTGCCACCACCTCTCCCGGCCACACCCACACGCCAACCCATGCACATGCCCCCACCCTCGCCCACGCCCACACACATGGACCTGCCCACATCCGCACGCCAGCCCTAGGAGAAGGCCTGGCGGGAGGATGCAAGGAAGGAGGGCTGGGACGTGATGAAGAGAGGGTTGGAGAGACGAGAGAGACGGGTGGGGTCAGGGAGAAACAAAAGGCGAGCACTGAGGACAGGAGTGAATGTGCTGTTTCAGCAATTTCCTGTCAACGGTGGGGGTGGTGAGGGAGTGTGAGGGGCGTGGCGCGAGAAAGAGAGCGGTGAGGAGAAGTTTTTCTGTCTCTCACTTCCCATCTCCTCCTACCCCGTGTCTCCTGCACCTCACTCCACCACTGCTGGATCTGCAGCTCCTGCTGCTCCTGCTGGCTCTACTGCTAGTGCACGCAGCAGCAGAGGTACCAGAGGCGATGATACCGATCCCAGTGCTGCTGGCACTGATCGCGGTGTTGCCGCCTCTCTCACTCACCATCCGCTCTTCGTTGCAAAATCTATTCCAGGTACAAGTTATTCCAGGTACAATGTATTCCAGGTGCAACCTGCTTCCAATCCCTTGCACCTGATTGCTATTTATTTGCTTTCTCATTCACACCAGGTACCATCCGTTTCGCTTCATAATTTCTCTCGGGCGTGCACCCAGTGTCACCACTCTCCACCGTGCCGCACCTCCCAAGCCTTTCTGTGCCTTCCTCGCATCCTCGTCCTCCACCTCAACCGATTCCAAACTACATTCCGCTCCACTCCATGCCTTGAGAAACCCACTTTGTCCCTTGGAGAGACCAATCCTCCCCTCACAGCCCCCAACGTAGCACCCCCTCCCCACCGCCTCCCTTGTGTGCCCTTCCCTGCCCAACTGTCTTCTGAGATTGCTCAACACACACACCCTACCCCCCCATTCCCTGAAAGCACCTCATGTTCTGTGTCCACGACATCTGCCCTTCCCTCTGCTCTGTCTAGCAAGGGTGCCTCATGCTGCAACCAACCAGCCCAGCCTCCTCTCGCTCACCCGCTTCTCCTCCTGTGCCTGCTGCTGGGGCTTCGTCTATCAACCCCTTCTCACTGCCAAATGCAGCAGCCAGGCACGTGGTACTCAATGGGTTGGTATCTAAGGGGGTGGTTTGCGGGCTTAAGGGTGGGGGGGCTGATAAGATGTGTGAGGGAGGTGGGTGGAGATGCGGGGGGGAATGAAAATTGGGGAGGGTCAGGAAGGGCAGCTGGTTGAGAAGGTGGAGGCGCAGCTGGTTGGGAGAAGAAATTTGGACAGAGAGGGGAAGGAAGAAGAGCGAGATGAGGGGCAAGTGCCGGAAGGCGAGGGTTGGGAGTGTGAAGAGGAGAATAAAGAGGTGGAGGAGGATTGGGCGGAGCTGCTGGAAGGAGCGGCTGGTGTGATTGGGGAGGGCGCACGCGGTTCAGCGGATGACAGCACACCTAAAAGGGCACAGTGAGGAAGAGTATCAGTGGAGTGGGTGGTGATGCTGACGTGGAGGGAAAGGAGGTGAGTTGGGGGCGATATGAGTGCAGGTAGAACATGGCTCGGGTAAACGTTCAACACTGCCGTATGTCTTGACGTGGGTGAGTTATCACGCAGTATTGTTGGATTTCGCGAATAAGCTTTCCCAGCAATTGTCTTGTACCCTTTTATGCTGCTATATTGTGCATTGACTCTATCTGTTTTTACTTCTCTGTTCTGTTGCCAACTATGGTGTTCACCACATCAGGTCTCTTTGGCGCAGCAGCAATGCACGAGTCCGTTTCTTTGGCAAGCCTATTGTATTGCTCAGGCTAGGAAAGGAAGTGTTTTGGCATAGGAAATCCGTTTCTGCTGTATAAGGGATGCTATAAAAGTTTGAAAATATTATTCATGTATCATGTTCCCACATTTCTTCCCCTCTACCCCTCGTCCACCATGGTCTGGAAGCTATTGTTTGATATTTTCCGTCTTGATTCTTTCACACAGCAGCACGACGGCATGACGGTAGCATACCACAGTCCCACTTCCACCTTTAAGTTCATACGTCGTTGCTCCCACCCCCTTCTGGTATCTCCACATTACCACAGCCATGTGGCAGCTCCCTATTCTCTCTGCTGGCCATGGCGCAACACACGGGGACCCATGTGGCGCATTGTCATTACATTGCTGACATGACGGAAGACAGCCTGTCACCACCTGCAAATGTTGATCTTCCAAAGTCTATGAAAATCCAATGAACGAGACAAGAGCCATTTGGCAGTGTTAGTGTGTGGTTGTCTAGCTTGGAAAAAATTATATGTAGTTACTTCATAGATCGGTAATTTCTTGCTGAAGCAGTTCATGCTTTCCAAACGGATCCAGCTTCTGAACTGGAGTTCCGTATAGCGAAGCTTGCAGCTGCAATACTTCTTCGGTCAGTCGGGTATGTATTTCCTAAGGAGTTAAACAAAATGTACATTTCTTTCCGCCACACCGCGACTCGAAATCGCAATCTAGGGTCAGACGCCGCTCCCGTGCTCATTGAAAACACCAACGGGAAAATGAACCAACGAAAACCCTCCTAATCTAAAACAGATACTTGACTACCCTCCAATTTTCGAATCCATAGGGAATGCAGCAGTCGAATCCAGCAACCCTATCCAAACTGACGAGAGCAACGACTGAAATGGCGTGATTTTTGTGAGTGAGGCAATCAGACGGCAAAGTCGAACAAGTCAGAGAGCAACAGCAAGAACTGAGCAGAGAGTAATGGCAAGAACGGAGCAGAGAGCAACGGCAAGAACTGAGCAGAGAGCAACGCAAGAACGGAGCAGAGAGCAAAGAAGAGAGGCACTAGGCGAGAGATCCGAATTGCATCAGCAAGATAGCAGTCACCATTTAATTTATATTTGAGAAGCTGTTGTCCATAACATAATCGAAGCCAGCGTACTTGCTTTCCCACTCTTTTTACCTGGCTGATTTAAAACCTGAGGTAGTATAATGGCGTGTTCGCACATTAATAGCCTTCCTGACGAGCTACTCGTTGCCATCTTATAGCCAAGGGCACTACAGGTGGGTTTGTCGGCTGGTAGAACTGTGCATATGGGCTGGAAGTGGTTGGTTGGTGTTGAGAGGCCTGAAAGAGCATGGGTGAGAGGTGGGCATTCTGCACCACCTGGCGGGGCACCCCCGCGTGGTGCAGGTGGGCGCAGGATGGGTTGATTGGTGGGGCCTTACAAGTGGTGCACGATCAGATCAGCTTCTTGTCCCTTCCCAGTCCTCCCTTTCCTTCCCTCTCTTCCCTTCCCTTCCCTTTCCTTCCCTTCCCTTCCCTCTCCCGTAGCGAGTGCGACACCGTGCGTCTCATCAGCACAATCATATCGGTCGTGCACTGCTGCCACACCATGAACGTCGTGCACTGCTGCCACACCATGAACGTCGTGCATCGTGGCCTCAAGCCGCAAGACTGCCTTGACTTTGCTTCTCCATGCCTTGACTTCCCTTCTCCATGCCTTAAATTCCTTTCTCCTTGTTTGAGTGTTTATGAGAGTCTGGGGGTGCATGAGAGTGTTTGCAAGTGTATGCACGAGTGTGCGAGTGAATGAGAGACTCTATTACGTAGGAGCGTGGATGAGAGCCTGACAGGCACTGCATCTGGTGCCTAAGATGGTACCCTACTATAGAAGGAGGGACGAAGCGAGGACATATGTGTGGTGATATGGTCCACATGGTCCTTTAATACCCTTCCTCCTTTCCCATCCCTCCCCTCACCCTCCCTCCACGCCCTCTTCCCCCCTCTCTTCTCGTTCCCCCAGGCTAGCATATCTCAGCAAGTCTAGCGAGCGGTCTGCTCCGCTGTATCTAGCCCCTTTCCCGCTCACTTCCTTCCCTTTGTCCCACTCACTTGTGTCGGTCTATCCCTCTGCCCCTCACCACAATGCAAGCCCATATCAGCAGCCTTGGAAGGGTACATCAGTTCCCGCCCCTGGAACATGGGCGCACTGTTCACGGGAACCTGCGGGCTGCTGAGTGCTTTCCTTGCCAATGCTGCATGGCACCTCCCCTTCAACACCCATCACCCTCATCCGTTCCCCCTCTCCCCCCCCTCGTACCACCAGCGCTCCGCTCTGCATTTTTTTGTCCCACACCGGATTCTGGCCCACTGACCCAAGCGACACCAAAGTGACATCACTATCATGGGCCACTCGGCTGTTTACACTTTCCCCCTCCCCGCACCCCTCTCCCTCCTCCCCCCTCTCTTCCGCCCCTCGTAGCTGCGCACCTTCTTCTGCCCCACCGACTCCCACCCCTATGGCACGTCCGCACTGTTCACCTCCACAGTAGCACGCCAGAGGCTACTGACGTGGCAGAGGTGCGCAGAAGGCTGCAGGCGATGCTGGGCTGCTGGGTGCCTTGTGGCGGTGTTTGATGGTCGAGCAAGAGGGAAAAGGAGGTGCGTTCTCAGGGAGTGAGAGAGGGGTGGTGAGCTGGGCTGCTTGAGTCACTAGTTGGTGGGTCACGGCGAGGGGAGGCTGGGTGTGGCTACTGGGTGCCTCGTGGCAGTTCTCTTCCACAGGGGCAGTTCTCTTCCACAGGGGCAGTTCTCTTCCACAAGGGCAGTTCTCTTTCACAGGGGCAGTTCTCTTCCGCAGGGGCAGTTCTCATCCGCAGGGGCAGTTCTCTTTTGCAGGGGCAGTTCTCTTTTGCAGGGGCAGTTCTCTTCCGCAGGGGCAGTTCTCTTCCGCAGGGGGAGTTCTCTTCCGCAGGGGCAGTTCTCTTCCGCAGGGGAAGTTCTCTTCCGCAGGGGCGGTTCTCTTCCGCAGGGGCGGTTCTCTTCCGCAGGGGCGGTTCTCTTCCGCAGGGGCAGATCTCTTCCGCAGGGGCAGTTCTCTTCCGCAGGGGCAGTTCTCTTCCGCAGGGGCAGATCTCTTCCGCAGGGGCAGTTCTCTTCCGCAGGGGCAGTTCTCTTCCGCAGGGGCAGTTCTCTTCCGCAGGGGCAGTTCTCTTCCGCAGGGACAGTTCTCTTCCCCAGGGGCAGTTCTCTTCCTCAGGGGCAGTTCTCTTCCACAGGGGCAGTTCTCTTCCACAAGGGCAGTTCTCTTCCACAAGGGCAGTTCTCTTCCAGAGGGGCAGTTCTCTTCCACAGGGGCAGTTCTCTTCCACAGGGGCAGTTCTCTTCCACAGGGGCAAATCTCTTCCACAGGGGCAGTTCTCTTCTACAAGGGCAGTTCTCTTCCACAGGGGCAGTTCTCTTCCACAGAGGCAGTTCTCTTCCATAGGGGCAGTTCTCTTCCACAAGGGCAGTTCTCTTCCACAGGGGCAGTTCTCTTCCACAGAGGCAGTTCTCTCCTCACCCTGCGACCCCTCCCCGTCCTCCACGCCTTCTCTGTCACAGCGCAATGCGTGTTGCTACTTTCCCGCTGAAATGTGACATTTACTGCCATGACAGTGACGCATGGAGGTCGTGATCGCATCAAGTGCCTTGCGCTGTGATTGGGACGCGATTGACCATGTGACAGATTCTGCAATTGCCCCTCCACCCTTCCCACCCCCCGGTTACACTTGCCCCTTTCCGTGTCGGTGCTCGTCTGCTGTGCCGTGGCATATGTGGAACATCCGGGAGCCAACATAATGGAGGGGTGGAACGGCTTGGAAGGATCTTGCACCTGCAGCAGCAGCAGCAGCAGACGAAGCGCCGGGCAGGGACGAGGCGAGGGGGCCGGTCGACGGACAACAAGTAAGGAGGAGACGAGAGCGAGTCAAGAGAGGGGGCAATGGCACAAGCAGGCGGGTTGGGGCATTGTGAGGCTTCAAAGTGTGAACATGATGCACCGAGAGCAGAGTGCACTAGGGTAGATTACTGCTCTTCTCCTTCTTTCACTGCTCAATCTTCCTTACCCACGTAAAATTACCCCCCCTTCTTCTCTTCGAATTCGTTGCCCCTACACAATTTGCAGTTCACATGTATCTGCAACCCCTTCACTTTCTCCACCTTCCACTTTATTCCCCCTTTCTTAACCTTTCTCTCTCGTCTTTTTTCCCCCACCCTACCTCTTTTCTTTTGTTGAACCCTCCTTCCCCCCTCCCTTTCCCTTCCGTTCACCCTTTCTTCCTCCCTCCTTTCTGCTCGCTATCGTACCCGTCTCTGTTCCCTCCCTACTATCTGTCTTCTCAACAGTGTTGCACATGCTCTCAACATGTGTTACGTCAATGCCACACTGCAAGCCCTCGCGTCCTTTCCGCCCATCCTCTCCCACCTCCTCCACTTCACCCTCCTCTCTTCGCTCGCCCGCTCCTCTTTTCTCCGCCTAGCCATCACCACTGATTTCCGGTGGCTGGCGTGGCAAATGCTGGTTGGGCCTGGCACGTGGCAACGGCAGTGGCGCTAGAGTGGGGAATATGGGTGGCAGGGAGAGCTGGACGGTGGGTGGCGTGGTAGATGCCAGCGATGTTAAAAGGGCAGTGGGGCGAAGCGTTCCCATTGTGTGGGGGCAAGAGCAGCAGGTGAGAGCTGTGAGGAAAGGCAGGATGATCAGTTGAGTAGGCAAGGTCTGCTTTATGTAAGGATGAGAGTTGTGAATGCTCTCAAGGCAGCAGATACTGATAGGGTAACATGAGAGAGGGGATGTCGATGAAATTGCAGAAGAAGGGTTTTACTATGCATGCTGTTGGTGTCAATGTGATGTGATGCCTTGAAAAGATCTCAATTCCTATTAATTCTCCTACCCCTTCGTTTTCCTGTTGTGAGATTTGTCCCTTGTTTGAGAGAACTAGGCTGCATCTGTAAAAACCTCTTGATAAACCCCCTGCTAGTCCCTCACACACCCTTTTTTGTGTCTAACTCGTCCTGACTGTAAGTTGCCCAGTTTTTCTTCCTGGTCCCTCACTCACCCATCTCGCCCATCTCGCCCATCCCGCCGCTGCCACCATCGACGCTGCCACCACCTCTCCCGGCCACACCCACACGCCAACCCATGCACATGCCCCCACCCTCGCCCACGCCCACACACATGGACCTGCCCACATCCGCACGCCAGCCCTAGGAGAAGGCCTGGCGGGAGGATGCAAGGAAGGAGGGCTGGGACGTGATGAAGAGAGGGTTGGAGAGACGAGAGAGACGGGTGGGGTCAGGGAGAAACAAAAGGCGAGCACTGAGGACAGGAGTGAATGTGCTGTTTCAGCAATTTCCTGTCAACGGTGGGGGTGGTGAGGGAGTGTGAGGGGCATGGCGCGAGAAAGAGAGCGGTGAGGAGAAGTTTTTCTGTCTCTCACTTCCCATCTCCTCCTACCCCGTGTCTCCTGCACCTCACTCCACCACTGCTGGATCTGCAGCTCCTGCTGCTCCTGCTGGCTCTACTGCTAGTGCACGCAGCAGCAGAGGTACCAGAGGCGATGATACCGATCCCAGTGCTGCTGGCACTGATCGCGGTGTTGCCGCCTCTCTCACTCACCATCCGCTCTTCGTTGCAAAATCTATTCCAGGTACAAGTTATTCCAGGTACAATGTATTCCAGGTGCAACCTGCTTCCAATCCCTTGCACCTGATTGCTATTTATTTGCTTTCTCATTCACACCAGGTACCATCCGTTTCGCTTCATAATTTCTCTCGGGCGTGCACCCAGTGTCACCACTCTCCACCGTGCCGCACCTCCCAAGCCTTTCTGTGCCTTCCTCGCATCCTCGTCCTCCACCTCAACCGATTCCAAACTACATTCCGCTCCACTCCATGCCTTGAGAAACCCACTTTGTCCCTTGGAGAGACCAATCCTCCCCTCACAGCCCCCAACGTAGCACCCCCTCCCCACCGCCTCCCTTGTGTGCCCTTCCCTGCCCAACTGTCTTCTGAGATTGCTCAACACACACACCCTACCCCCCCATTCCCTGAAAGCACCTCATGTTCTGTGTCCACGACATCTGCCCTTCCCTCTGCTCTGTCTAGCAAGGGTGCCTCATGCTGCAACCAACCAGCCCAGCCTCCTCTCGCTCACCCGCTTCTCCTCCTGTGCCTGCTGCTGGGGCTTCGTCTATCAACCCCTTCTCACTGCCAAATGCAGCAGCCAGGCACGTGGTACTCAATGGGTTGGTATCTAAGGGGGTGGTTTGCGGGCTTAAGGGTGGGGGGGCTGATAAGATGTGTGAGGGAGGTGGGTGGAGATGCGGGGGGGAATGAAAATTGGGGAGGGTCAGGAAGGGCAGCTGGTTGAGAAGGTGGAGGCGCAGCTGGTTGGGAGAAGAAATTTGGACAGAGAGGGGAAGGAAGAAGAGCGAGATGAGGGGCAAGTGCCGGAAGGCGAGGGTTGGGAGTGTGAAGAGGAGAATAAAGAGGTGGAGGAGGATTGGGCGGAGCTGCTGGAAGGAGCGGCTGGTGTGATTGGGGAGGGCGCAGGCGGTGCAGCGGATGACAGCACACCTAAAAGGGCACAGTGAGGAAGAGTATCAGTGGAGTGGGTGGTGATGCTGACGTGGAGGGAAAGGAGGTGAGTTGGGGGCGATATGAGTGCAGGTAGAACATGGCTCGGGTAAACGTTCGACAATGCCGTATGTCTTGACGTGGGTGAGTTATCACGCAGTATTGTTGGATTTCGCGAATAAGCTTTCCCAGAAATTGTCTTGTACCCTTTTATGCTGCTATATTGTGCATTGACTCTGTCTGTTTTTACTTCTCTTTTCTGTTGCCAACTATGGTGTTCACCACATCAGGTCTCTTTGGCGCAGCAGCAATGCACGAGTCCGTTTCTTTGGCAAGCCTATTGTATTGCTCAGGGTCGGAAAGGAAGTGTTTTGGCATAGGAAATCCGTTTCTGTTGTATAAGGGATGCTATAAAAGTTTGAAAATATTATTCATCAATCATGTTCCCACATTTCTTCCCCTCTACCCCTCGTCCACCATGGTCTGGAAGCTATTGTTTGATATTTTCCGTCTTGATTCTTTCACACAGCAGCACGACAGCATGACGGTAGCATACCACAGTCCCACTTCCACCTTTAAGTTCATACGTCGTTGCTCCCACCCCCTTCTGGTATCTCCACATTACCACAGCCACGTGGCAGCTCCCTATTCTCTCTGCTGGCCATGGCGCAACACACGGGGACCCATGTGGCGCATTGTCATTACATTGCTGACATGGCGGAAGACAGCCTGTCACCACCTGCAAATGTTGATCTTCCAAAGTCTATGAAAATCCAATGAACGAGACAAGAGCCATTTGGCAGTGTTAGTGTGTGGTTGTCTAGCTTGGAAATAATTATATGTAGTTACTTCATAGATCGGTAATTTCTTGCTGAAGCAGTTCATGCTTTCCAAACGGATCCAGCTTCTGAACTGGAGTTCCGTATAGCGAAGCTTGCAGCTGCAATACTTCTTCGGTCAGTCGGGTAGGTATTTCCTAAGGAGTTAAACAAAATGTACATTTCTTTCCGCCACACCGCGACTCGAAATCGCAATCTAGGGTCAGACGCCGCTCCCGTGCTCATTGAAAACACCAACGGGAAAATGAACCAACGAAAACCCTCCTAATCTAAAACAGATACTTGACTACCCTCCAATTTTCGAATCCATAGGGAATCCAGCAACCCTATCCAAACTGACGAGAGCAACGACTGAAATGGCGTGATTTTTGTGAGTGAGGCAATCAGACGGCAAAGTCGAACAAGTCAGAGAGCAACAGCAAGAACTGAGCAGAGAGTAATGGCAAGAACGGAGCAGAGAGCAACGGCAAGAACTGAGCAGAGAGCAACGCAAGAACTGAGCAGAGAGCAAAGAAGAGAGGCACTAGGCGAGAGATCAGAATTGCATCAGCAAGATAGCAGTCACCATTTAATGTATATTTGAGAAGCTGTTGTCCATAACATAATCGAAGCCAGCGTACTTGCTTTCCCACTCTTTTTACCTGGCTGATTTAAAACCTGAGGTAGTATAATGGCGTGTTCGCACATTAATAGCCTTCCTGACGAGCTACTCGTTGCCATCTTCTGGCCGTCGAAGCGAATCTTCTCTCGCGAGCCCTTTAATGAGGCTCTGTGGGCCACCGTGCGGCCTCCCCCGAGGTTCATTCGCGAAGACCCAGACGCGGCATGCTACCAGCAGAGCGAGACCATGTTTCCAGCTCCTCCTCTTCCTCCAGCATTCGCTGACGCTGCGTACAATCTCCTCCTTGCGTTGATCTGCCGCTGCTGGCGTCGTCTGGCGCAGCGCCACGTCGCCATGCTGCTCGTCAAGAAGGATCGCACCATTTCCTGCGACGATCTCCGCGCTGCGGTCACGTGCTTCCCGCACCTCGCGCACCTCCGTCTGAGCGACGGCAGCGCGCATCCCATCAACGACGCCTTCCTCGCTCACCTCGCCGCGTGCTGCCCGAAGCTGACGGCGTTCCACGTGGGGAGTGCGACCATGCCGCATAACTTCGAGTACGACTCACCTGGGGAGTACGACCAGCCAGGGAAGTCCTTGCTCACGCCGGCCGGCTTTGACGCGTTCTTCCGCGGCTGCACGCAGCTGGAGCAACTCTCGCTGGGATGCCTGCATGCCGATTTCGGGTTACGAGCTTCGCTCTTCCAGCTCGTGCACCTGCGATCTCTCGCGCTCGCTGATCTGTCGGCGATAACGACTACATATGTGCAGAAATTCACCTCTCTCGCGGCGCTCGCGATCAACACGGCGGTGTGGGACTTTCACGACCTCGAGAACCTCGCGCTCCTGCCACGCCTCGCTTCTCTATCCATAACGGAAGAAATCACGCTCTTCTAAGCCAGCTCGCACTCTCCTCCCTTCTCCTTCGCACGCCTATCGTCACTCAGGTCGCTGGATCTGGGACTCAGCCCCTGTCCACCGTTCGATCACATGTTCCCTGCAGAGTCCCCGCGCGGCCTGCTCGAGCGGCTGTCGCTCTACCAGTGCGACGAGCTTCACGCTCTCCCGGACGACATTAGCGAGTGCCTGCCGTGCCTGCGCGAGCTGAGCATCAGCATGTGTGGCACCTTACTGGACCAGCCCCATCAAGTCACTCCTCTCACAGCCCTGCGCTCCTTGAACCTCGCCGAGTGCGCGTTCTTCGTCCTGCCGGACCGCCTTGGCCACATGCCCGCGCTCACGACGCTCGTGCTGCACAAGCTGAATATCCACTTCCCTGCCTCGTTCAGCCGCCTGCAGTCCCTCGAGACTCTGGTCGTCACCGACTGCGCGACCCTAGCCGAGCTGCCTGATGGGTTGGGCGCGCTCACAACGCTTAAGAGCATGTGCGTCACGGAGTGCCCCTCCGTAGTTCTGCCACACGACGTGGGCCAGCTCACCAACCTGCACACGCTCTTCCTGAAATCCTGCACGGAGCCCCGTCTGCTGCCGCCCTCCTTCACCCTTCTGGCTTCGCTCGCACGGCTGGAGCTTCACGAGTGCGACCTGGCCGAGCTTCCAGAGGCCACGGGGGAGTTGAGGTGCCTGCGGGAGCTGTACCTCCTCTCCTGCCCTCGGATCCAGAAGCTCCCAGAGTCTGTGGCAGCGCTGCTGAAGCCCTCGTGTTGGACAACTGCAGCAGCCTGTTCTCCGTCCCCAAGAGTCTCATCAATCTGGCCAGGCTGAAGCAGCTGGAGCTGACCGGCTGTGCACTGCTGAGAACGGCTCCGGAGTTCCTACCAGGGTCGCTGGAAACGCTCAGGCTGGGGAGTTATCAGCAGGTCACACATCTGCCGGGTACCTATGCTCTCTCCAGCCTCAACGATTTGACCTTCAACAATGTGATTTTCCCCACTGCTCTGTCCAGAAACCTCTCTTCACTGGAGCACTTGAAACTCATGTTCGCATGCGAGGGCGAGTTCCCGTTTCCATTGGCGGGCCTGCCTCGCCTCCGCACCCTCACACTCATCAGCACCGGAGTTGTGAGGCTTCCAGGTTTTTCCTAGTATGCATTGGTATTTTTGCCCTTTTTGTCTGATTTTCAGAGTAAAGTCGTGTACCAACTCTGATTTTTCAGCCTAGCCCAAAACCAATCTGAGGGCCTGGATGTACCCCACTATAGGCCATCATATCTAACTCAAATATAAACATACGTTGATTGACAGTACTCTATTTTTTCAGTATTCAAAAAAACAGAAGTCTGAAGCACTCGTTTTTGAAAATCTGCCAACTCTGAAAAAACAGGAATGTCAAGAAAATAGTCTGAAAATTCAGACAATCAGACTAAAATAGTCTGATAACGTCAGCCCTCGCTGCCAGCCGCGAGCAGCGCTAGCAACTGGCTGCACCAGCGCTGGCCACTAGCAGAGCTAGCCACCAGCAGAGCTAGCCACCAGTAGAGCTAGCCACCAGTAGAGCTAGCCACCAGTAGAGCTATTCACCAGCAGCAGATCTAGCCGCTCATAGCCTCTCCTTGCCGCCCATAGCCCCCTCCCAGCCGCCCACAGCCACTGCTGCCCATACCTGCCTCGGCCAGCCCACCTCTACTGCCCGTGCCTGCCAGTTGCATCACCAGCCGCCAGCAGTGCCAGTAGCACCACTGGCCGCCAGCAGTGCCAGTAGCACCACCTCCTCCTAGTGACATCATTCCGCACACAGAAGCAGCACCAGCCGCCCAGCCGCCCACACCACCAGCCGCCAACAGTGCCAGTAGCATCACCAGCTGCCAGCAGTGCCAGTAGCACCCCTACCCATCTCCTCCCTTCCAGCCCTCCTCTTCTCCCACCCACTTCCTCCTTTCCAGCCCTCCTCTTCCCCCACCCACCTCCCTTCCAGCCCTCATCTTCCCCCACCTACCTCCTCCCTTCCAGCCCTCCTCTTCCCCCACCCACCTCCTCCCTTCCAGCCCTCCTCTTCCCCCACCCACCTCCTCCTTTCCAGCCCTCCTCTTCCCCCACCCACCTCTCTTCCAGCCCTCATCTTCCCCCACCCACCTCCTCCCTTCCAGCCCTCCTCTTCCCCCACCCACCTCCTCCCTTCCAGCCCTCCTCTTCCCCCACCCACCTCCTCCTTTCCAGCCCTCCTCTTCCCGACCCACCTCCTCCCTTCCAGCCCTCCTCTTCCCCCACCCACCTCCTCCTTTCCAGCCCTCCTCTTCCCGACCCACCTCCTCCCTTCCAGCCCTCCTCTTCCCCCACCCACCTCCTCCTTTCCAGCCCTCCTCTTCCCGACCCACCTCCTCCCTTCCAGCCCTCCTCTTCCCCCACCCACCTCCCCTCCTCCAGCACCCCTCTTCCCCTTTAATCCCCCCCCTCTCCTCCCTTCCAGCCCTCCTCGTTCCCCACCAACCTCCTCCCATCTACCCTTACATTTCCCCCACCCACCTCTCCCCCTCCAGCACTGTGTCACTCTCGCCGCACTCAGTAGCAGCTGCTACAGTGGACAAGGCTGATGAGCTCTCCCAACATAGTTTACCCCGTGTGTGTAAAACGCTCCCAGAGTAACCTCGTCACCAGCTCAGCCCCTTACCAGCACCCCTTGCAGCTCACGCATCTGCAGCTGCCACCGCTGCCCCCCGCACTGCCGTCCTCTCCCTCACAACAATCCTGAGAGGCGTTGCCAGAACCATCGACATCCCCAACGACTCCCTCATGTCTATCCCTCCACCTGCCCTCACCTCTTGGGGCGCCTCAAAATCAAACCGCCGAACGAAATTCGCCAGCAGGCGGGCGGACAGGTCCAATCCCAGACTCGTCCCAAGGCACCCACGCCTGCCTGAACCAAATGGCAGCAGGCTGAAAATTTTCCCAGTCACGTCAGGGGCATCAGGTTTTAGGAACCTGGAGGGGTCGAATTCGTGCGGGTTAATCCAGACTGTTGGATCGTGCCCGAGAGCCCAGTTGTTGATGTTGATCATGGTATTGGGAGGAATGCTGTAACCCCCTAGGGTTACTCTGCCACTTGTCAGGCGCGGAAAGAAGAGTTGAGCGACCGGGTGATGCCTGAAGGATTCTTTCAACACAGCCTGCAGATACGGCATCTCCTGCACCGCAAGGGACACCACCATATCACCTCCTCCTCCTCCTCCTCCTCCTCGTCCTGCGGGCGCCCCAGTTTCGGCGGCCACGCTTGCTGACTTGGCATACGCCACATCCACCTCATCGCGGAGCCTTTCCAGCATGTTCGGGTGCTGCGCCAGCTCAGCAAGTGCCCATTCGACGGTCTTGGCGGTGGTATCGGTGCCGGCGAGCATGAGGTCCTGAGCGAGCATGAGCATGTCGTCCTCGTCCACCTGCTCCTCCCCGTCCCCTTCCATCTCCAACAACGTGTCAACAAGAGTGGTTTTAGATGCCGTCCGCGCCTTCACCTGCTCACCCGCAGCCCCATCCATCGCCAGCGCAGCCCCCGTCTCCATCCCTAGCCTGCCTTGCCTGGCTTGGCTCCCTTCCGTACGCTTTGCCAGCATGAGCTGGCGTCGCTCCTCGATGCACGCGCGCATGAATCCGCGCAGCTGCGGTGCGAGGCGCTGTGCGCGCGCGTACATGCGGAAGGGGTCCCCGCAATAGCTCAGCCACGGCACGTAATCCGCGATGTTGAATGCTCCCGCAAGAGCGAAAGCCTCCTCGATGATCGCAAACAGCACCTCTCCTTCCGCCTCCTCTGTCAGTGATGGTAGTAGCTCGGAGTTTTCTGCTTCCGCCGCCGCTGCAGCCGCGGACCCCGTAGGAGCTGCAACCGCGTCGGCAGAGCCGCGGATCCCGCCGTGTTGTTCGCCGCTCATTGCGGCGATGCGTTTGTTCCAGTCAATGCTCATCGCAGCGTCGAGAATCGCCTTTGACGTGAAGTCGGCCGCGCCGCGAATCGATGAGTAGCAAAAGCGCTTACCGACCGTGAGGCGCATGATGTTGTTGAGCGTGGCGCGATTCAGGTACCTTCGCACTTCTATGCTCATCCCCCCACCCGCGGGAGCCACAGTAGCAGTTGCGTCGGCAGCAATCGCATCGAGCATGTCGCGAATCTCCCCCTCTCGCACAGGAAGGCTCTCCTGAAGTTTCTTCGCGGACAGCAGGTGGAGCGTCGCCAGTCGTCGCAGCTTTCGGCAATGGTCGTTTTCTGGCGAAAACGCGATATTTTTGCCGTCGAGAGAAAGAATCGCCACGGTTCGAAGCAGCGCGCGGGACGAGCAGAGCTTATCATTCGTTTTAAGCACCTCACGGGCGCATCCCAAAACATTCGTCAGGGGGGTTGGGGTACCAAACCACGGAGTGGGTACTTCGTACCCACGTCCGTGGTATGTGTTGAGTACGGCAGCTGACCATACATAATATTAGGCCACCCTAGGACGAACTTTGCATGCGGAACCTACCAAGCTATACTGTCGGGTGAATGAAGATCGATGGTGGTCAGGACTATGAATACGCTGGGCCTGCCGAGCAGGTGCACAATGTTTAGGCCTACATTGTCGGGGGGTTTGTAAGCCTACAGAGCACCTACCACGCACATACTTCCAACAACGGTTCATCGGATTAGATTCGATACAATCCGGTTTATAATAGTGCATTTTTGCACATTGGACAGTTGCCCAGTTCCTCAACCTCACAAACAGTCACTAATACCCTCGATTATGGTTCACTCGCTCGATAAACTCGCTACACGACGATATCATCAAACCTACAATGTGCTGGAAAATACATGGCCGTCGATCACGATTTAGCAATGGTCGAGATCGAAATATTATACTGCCACGGGAATCCGAGCATCAAGGGCTGTTTACGGTACTACCCCTCCAGAGCATGACCCACTAATTTTGTACCTTACTGAATAGTAAGCTATGCAGGCATTTTACACATCATTTTACCCTTTCTGGGAAGTTAGCGAGATTACAAAAGGTTGGAAAAACAACCGTCGATCTTAATAATGTTGGATGGCTACGATCTGACGAAGCTCCGTTTCTATTTGCCACGCTGGGCAACAAATGTTTCGTGATTGAATTTACTTCTTTGAGTGATTGGTTGACAATTAAAAGCCGTCGATCTTTATAGCAATCAAAGGCCACGATGGAGAGATGAAACGAGATAATGAACCCTAGTTTCTGATTGGTTCACAAACCATTTCAGGAGATTGGTGAGATTGCTCAATGGTTGGAATTATAACCGTCGATCATCATTTTTGGATGGCTACGATCAGACGTGGGCTGTGTTTTTCGTTGGAATGACAACCGTTGGTTCACTTGGCAAGCTAGGCCACGATCGGGAGATGCAGAAGATATTGCTGTATGGCTTCCGATTGGGTGAAACCCAGATTTCGGCCGAGGCACACACACAGAACTGATAGTCTGCTGTACTTCAAACCCCACCTTCATTTCCTCATTTCTTAGCGTCCAGGCAGCTCTCGTTTAGTTCCCCGCTCTCCGGTTTCACCTACCAGACCACGCTCCTGCTCTTTGTTCACCTTTGAAATCATGAGCGCTACTTGTTGATTTTCCGTCGTTTACTTCTCCCTTTTGTCGTGGCAGAAGGCGATATGGGCGAGGCGATTTGCCCGTGGCGATATGGGCGTGGCGATATAACGTGGCGATATGGGCGTGGTGATTTGGCGTGGCGATACGGGCGTGACAAATTGGGCGTGTCGATATAGGCGTGGCGATTTGGCGTCGCGATATGGGCGTGAAGATTCTGGCGTGGCGTGGCGTGTCGATTTGGCCTTCACGATAAAGGCGTGGCGATTTGGGCGTGGCAATATGGGCGATGGCGTGCGTTGGCTATCTGTGAGTTTCCAGCTGGGGTTGTGCTTATTCACTATTTAGTTTCTGTTTTTTGTTAAGCTAACCTGAACGTCTGGATGCCTGCTCTCCCAACACTAACGGTTCTTGTACTTGTCGCGATGTTGCAGGATTATAGTTCGACCGTGCGGAATGTGTTATTATGTTTTTAAATCATTAGTTCTGTTCAGTATTGTCAGGGAAGTGCTAGCTGAACCCCGGTAAGTACTTGGCGGTGTGTAAATTGTTGATTTCTGACTCTTATTTTGTTTGTGTTTATCGCTTGTTGCTGTAAGGTTCGGTCACTTAGTAGGACCACTTTACGTGAAGACGATTCCTTCATAGGGTTTACGAAGTCTGTATTGGTATAATGTGTATTTGTAAAAAAAAATATTGGATTTCAGTTCTTTTAAAACTACAGTCCCGCATTATTACTTTTGTAATCCTCATAATAATGTAACCATGACATCACATGGGCTACCAGGCAACTATGTAACATCGTGATATTATGTGTTGTCAGTAACATTGTAACCGTGTGACTGCGTAACTGTTACGTGCTTGTTTTTATGTGTAGCGATTAAAGCCCCTCTGGACATAGCATGTAGTTAGTGTGATGTCAAACGTTCTTGCTATAGTCTTTCTAGGCTGTAGTGGGGTAGACAGTATGGGGCACAGTTTCCTAGGGTTGCATATTTGTACCCAACTCATTTCCTAGTCCATCATTCCTTGTTCTTATTTTCACATGGTATTAGAGCAGAATCGTTCCTACGGCCCACCGAACGTTCCGCCCTGCCCTAACTGAAATATTTTTTTTTTAAGCTGCCCCTGCAGCTGCGCTGCCCTTGCAGCCCGCGTGCTCCACCTGCGACCGTGCTGCCACTGCAGCCGTGCCTGCCCGTGCAGCCGTGCCTGCCCCTGCAGCCCGTGGGAGCTGCCTCTGCATCAGTGCCTGCCCTGCCGAGCCGCGTGTCGCCCGTGGACGCTGCCTCTGCCCTGCCGAGCCGCGTGTTGCCCGTGGGCGCTGCCTCTGCGACTCTCGTGTCGCCCCCCGCTGCCCCGTCGCGCTGCCCTGGTAAGCCGCGCGTGACCCCCCGCTGCCCCGTCGCGCTGCCCTGGGGAGCCGCGCGCGACCCCCGCTGTCCCGTCGCGTCGCCCTGGGGAGCCGCGCTCGGCCCCCGCTGCCCCGTCGCGACGCCCTGGGGAGCCGCGCTCGGCCCCCCGCTGCCCTGTCGCGACGCCCTGGGGAGCCGTGCTCGGCCCCCGCTGCCCCGTCGCGACGCCCTGGGGAGCCGCGCGCGACCCCCCGCTGCCCCGTCGCGACGCCCTGGGGAGCCGCGCGCGGCCCCCCCCGCTGCCCCGTCGCGGCGCCCTGGGGAGCCACGCGCCGCCCCCCCCTCGCTGCTGCCCGAGCCACCCTGCAGCCCGCGAGCCGCCTCTGCAGCGCCGAGTGCGCCCTGCCAAACCCTAAAATAAATAATTAATTAAAAAAAAAAAAAAAAACAGCTGCCCCTGGCCCCTGGAGCAGCCGCCCCTGCTGCAGCCGCCCTTGGCCCCTGGAGCAGCCGCCCCTGCAGCAGCTGCCCCTGGCCCCTGGAGCAGCCGCCCCTGCAGCAGCCGCCCCTGCAGCAGCCGCCCCTGCAGCAGCTGCCCCTGCAGCAGCCGCCCCTGGACCTCTGCAGCCGCCCCTGGAGCAGCCGCCCCTGCAGCTGCCGCGGAGCCCTCGCCCTGCAGTGGTAGCGGCCTCGCCGTTGCCACCGTCGTACGCCTGCCCTTCTCGCCACTGGTGAGCACTGCCCTGCCCGTACTGCTGTTACTGCTGCTCCTGCTGCTACTGCTCTTTCTACTTCTACTGCTGCTCCTGGCGTGGCCAGATGCAGCTCCAGCGCCGTCCGCGTGAGTCCCTCACGCCCCACCAGCTTCGTGAGTGGTATGCTAGTTGGGGTTGTAGGGGTGGCCGCGCTGCTACTACTGCTACTGCTGCTACTGCGGCTACTACTGCTACTGCTGCTACTGCTGCTACTGCTGCTACTGCGGCTACTACTGCTACTGCTGCTCCTGGCGGTGGCCAGATGCAGCTCCAGCGACGTCCGCGTGAGTCCCTCACGCCCCAGCAGCTTCGTGAGTGGTACGCTAGTTGGGGTTGTCGGGGTGGCCGTAGTGGGAGTCGTCCTGGAGTGAGTAGTTCGGGAGCTTCTTGTAGTGGCCACGTGCAGCTGCAGCGTCGTCTGCGCGCGGCCCTTTCGCCCCAGCAGCTTCGTGAGTGGTACGCTCAGCGTGGAGGGTCACGGGGTACTGCTCGCTGCCCGTACGTCATTCGCACTGGTGCTCGGACTGGTCAGCCTTGCGGGACGTTTGGTCACACAGAGTCCCGCTGCTTCGCCCGTCTGAGCGACGCCTGGCGTACAGATTTTGGCGACGCGGCTGAGCTCCCCGACTGGGTGGAGCTGCTTAGGCAGAGGGTAGATATCTATGCTCTTGACTATGATGCTATCCTCACTGCCATGTATGCATTTCCTACTAGTGCTGAGGGTGCCTGTTACCTGTGTGTGCCGCCTGACCCCGGTATCCAGTCTGCTGCTCTAGGTACTGGTGAGGCTGCTGCTCTAGGTGCTGGTACGTCTCCTGCTCCAGGTGTTGGTGAGGCTGCTGCTCTAGGTGCTCGTGAGTCTACTGCTCCAGGTGCTGGTGAGTCTGCTCTCTCTGGTACTGTGCCTGCTGCGGTCGTACACACCTTCACCCTTGACTCGGGTGCTTCCCGCTCCTTCTTTCGAGACCGCACCACACTCACGCCGCTTAGTCGGCCGGTTGCAGTCTCCCTGGCAGACCCCTCTGGGGGTCTTGTCCTTGCCCACTACTCCACTGTCCTACCGTGCCCGGCGGCCCCGTCCGGCTCCCTGTCAGGTCTTTACCTCCCCTCGTTCTCTACGAACTTGGTGAGTGGTGCTGACCTTCAGGATGGGGGGGTTGACCAGTTCACTCCTGCGAGTCAGCGGGTGACCCACTGCACGTGTGCTCGGACG